TTTTTTTGACATACAGCTACCGTAATCCACTCTCATTTAGCGAAAAACGTAGCTGTCACCGTCCCTTTAAAATCCATACCCATGACCGTAACCTACCGTACCCAAATTGGCCCACCACATCACTCGAGATTCCGTGCCATTCCCTGAATGCGCTTTATGGGGCTGACCTTTCCACCCGCGGGGGGGGCATAGTTTGCCCGCGGAAATCGCGGAAATTCGAGAATTGCGATGATTTGTGTGGCGAATCTTTGATGTGTTCATTTCGGCGGACACCCACACATTTTTTTCGCGAAGTTTGTATTTCCCGATTCACGACGCCCCCACCAATATTTTCGGAGTATTTAACTGGCAGAAATCCTCACAAAAAGGCACAATTTTGGACCCTAGTGCAAAGATTATTGCCTGAAAACCAAGTCAACCCAGTGTCATCCCTATTTTTGGGCCATCTCTATATTTCAGCGCAGGGCAATTTAGCAACGAGCGTTTCGGAAACTTGCAAAAACCCACAAAACCGTGGAGAATCTTTTGTGTTGCTCGTTTCCGAAGAAAATGTTTTAAAAAACCGTCAAAAACTCAAAAAACAACGCGCGTTTTGCTTGAAAACTCGTCACAAATTGGGTTTATTACGGGACACACGAAATTGTGCCATTTTTTGTTGCACAACTTCTAATTTTTGTACTTTTTGGAGGGAGAAGAGAGGATTTAGGTCTCTTTTATATCTTTTAAAACGCGTCGAAAAAGTTGAAAACGAGCCTTTTTGCTTGAAACCGCTTTAAATTTGCGGTTATTTACGATATTTTATGGTTTTTGTAGCGTATTTTCGAGTTTATTTTATTTTCTGGCTGGCAAGCTAGCAGAGACGATTTACGACCTTGAAATTCTCACTTTTATTGCCTCTGAAATTCTCAAAACGGTAAAGATCACTATTTTTTTGCAGCGTCAGCCTGGCTTTTCTATGGGAATTGCTCCTCTACTGTATATGTTTATTGCCGTAGTTAGTACAGTAATTTCTCAAAAAAGTCGAAAATCCAGGTAAATTTAAATAATATAAATGACGTTTATATATTTTTAGAGTACAAATCATTTCTGAACAATTCTCAGCGATTATATGATGCCTTATTCTCGACGTATACCAAGGAATTATCGCCGATTTTGACGCGGAAAGAAGAAGTGCCTAGTAAGCTTATTTTAAATAAAATTTAATTAAGATAGCATCTAAATCACCATATTTAATTTGATCTAATTATTCGCCGCTTTCAACAAAATTTTTGGAATTTTACAAATTTTCTAAAAATTGTTAGTAAACGAATTTAAATTCTTAATTTTAGTAAATACATCGAATGATACGCGTTTTAATGTCAATATTTCTTTATATTTTGTCAAGCTGGTCGATGTGGTAAGTTTTATACCTTCAAAATAGAAAATTATTGAATTTTAGACCGAAGAAGAAGAGAAATTTTCGACACTTTCTGAAATTTTTATGGTACGTTTGATTGATTTTGAGGTATTACATGTCGTAACTGGATGCCAGTTAAAAAAATAACCAACTTTTAAAGCTATAAAAATCAATATTTCTAGACTTGGATCGACCCTCGTCTCAAGTGGAATCCATCAGATTACGGTGGATTGCAAGAATTGCATGTGAATGCCGATTCCGTTTGGCAACCCGAGAATTCGCTGTCGGATACGTAAGTAGGAATGTAGCGTACTTTTATAGGGACTATTTTTAGATCAGACCTTCAAGAAATCTACCCGCCAGATATCAAAACTGTCATAATCAAGCCAGAGGGTACGGTATCGATTTTGCGGAAAATCTATGCCGAGTCGACGTGCAAAATGACAAATGTATGTCAGTTTGGGGATTTTGGCTGTAAAAGTTGTAATTTGTAGTTTGTAACCCACCGTACGCCGTATTTTCAGATTGGCCACTTCCCATTCGATCGCGAAACGTGTTCTCTCTATTTTATGGTATATTCATATAATTATTGGGATGTCAAAATGACACTCGCCATTCCACAGCCAAATATTGTCAATTTTGCGGTGCGTTATTTTGTAGACTACATACTACAACGGGTGTTGTTTAGGGCAATAGTGAATGGGACGTCGAACAGATCACCTATGGAATCTCTTTTTACAACGACAGCAGTTATGCGTATGATTTTGATTCGGTACGGTAGAGTGGGCGGTAGATTACGGTAAAAATACATAAAAACCAATTAATGGGTCTCAGATTACTGTAAAAAGTAGTGTGAAAGTTTCTATGCCTCCCAGATTAGTGTAACGAGTATCAACCAATCTTTATTGCTTGCCAGTTTAAATAACAACGTCGAAAAACTTATTTTTGAGGGTGCATTCAACCTGGTGCTCCGCCGTCAGCCCCATTTCTATATCTATGTGATTATATTACCATGTTTCACTCTCTGTATATTATCTGCAATCGGAATGTTCTGGTCGTCAAATAGGAGAGAAGATCAATTGGCTAAGGTTTGCCCTAATTATCGTAACCCGAGCTAAAAGCTCCTTTTTCAGTTATCGATCGGACTGACGAGCCTAATGTCAATTGCTGTATTGTTGCAAATAGTGACTGACAGTATCCCGAAGAGTCAGACGTTCCCATTGCTAGGTATCGATTCGGAATTTATGCTTTTAAACGGGAATCTGAGGCCAGGAAATTTTGGCTTGACTGGCAGTTAGGCAAATTCACTCAAATTTCCATAAAAAATCGATTAAAAATTCCCTAGCTGCGAAATTCGGGAAAAGCGGTATTGCATGCTTTGAACTGCCTGCCAGTTAGCTTAAATCCGCACCTAATTTTAAAATTACTTGTTTATCAGGTTTCTACGCGATCGTAAGCGTTTTTATGATAGCGTTGGGATGTGCTGTCCTCGTCAGCCTCCCAATAAGTGCCGAGTCCACGAAGAAAAGCATTGAAGCCGGGTAAATAAATATTTTCCTTGAATTCTACGCATTATTAGCGTATTTTTACACCAAGATAAAAGTTCAAAAAGTCGTTTTTTTTTGCAAAAAAAAATCATGATTTTCAGAAGTGCTGTGCGCCGTTTGCTCTACCGCTTCACATATCCTCATGTCATTCTACATATTCTTTTCCAATTGGGGAATATCATTAATCTTATTGTTTTCTTTTCATACTGGAGGTGAAATAAAATGTATTGAACTACCAGACTACGAACTACAGTAGGACTACCATCTTACCGTGATGCAGCACATACGCTTTACTGATACTAGCTGCTTATGAAACATGTTATAAAACCTAAAATCACAATAATTATATCTACTGGCTGCCAGTTTAGCCAGTTACGCGTGAAAATCGTGTTAAGGAGCAGCAACAGCTTCTACAGGTTAAAAACGAAAAAAAAATCATGCTTTCTGGCGGTCAGGGAGTACACGCCACGGCTATCAACACCAGAATTAATGGCGATGGCCGGCAGTTCAGCCGATTACGCAATGAAAATAGCCTTAAAGGGACAAGGACAGTGTCTAGAACCTAAAAACCCCAAAATTTGTCGTTTCTGGCTGATTGTCTTGCCGCATCGAACGGCTAAAAACACGGAAATAAACCGTTGTTCGATCTTTCCAACTTCCCCACCCCCAACCCGGGCATAAAAAGCGTTTTCCTGAACTTTTGCGGAAATGGGAATGCGGGGGGAAACTTGAGATATTTGCCGAGTACTTCGTTTTGACGGAGCAAGAGGGGGAGGGACACTTTTTTCGATTGGGTACTTGTTACGTAACTTGTAGACAACAAACGACCTCAAATTTGCATGAATTGTTTTTATTTCCTAATTTATGCTTGTATTTTCGGGATTACTGTAAGCCAGGAAGATGGTAGATCGATTAGAGGTAACCATAAAAAGAAATTTACCTGAAAGTTAGGTATTTTAGGCATGGAAAAATCATATTTGAATACAACGCAACGGTTATACCACTATTTATTTGATAATTACGTCAAGGATGTGGCGGTTGTGCATGCAAAACCAGAGAATGGTAGACAGCTTACATATTTTTATCGTTTAAAAAAATGTTTATCCGTTTTTACATAAATTTAATAAGTTTTAAATTACTTTCTGGCTCGAAACTACGCCTCTTTCAATTTTAAGATAATTTTTAAATCCAAAAACCTGGATTGAGTTTTCAAAATTGTAGCCGTTTTTGTAGATTTATTTTTAACAGATTTTTTAAATTGAATTTTTAGGCGATGACCCGTCAATTCCTTGTTTTAATGTGGAAATTTGGTTGAGTTATGCCAAACTGATCGACGTGGTATCTTTTTATGAATTTGTCGTTTAATTTTTTCGACTTTTTTAGATGGAAGCCGAGGAGAAATTTTCGTTTTTGACCGAGCTATATTTTGTAAGTTTATTGAAAGGATCTTTTTTTTTGAGACAGCTCAAAATATCGAATGCCAGTAAGAAAATCGATGCTGGTGAAAAGGGTAGACTAGCAGGGATCCTTGGGGAATTTTGCGAACACAATTTTAATGTGGTGAATCGAATATCTGTCTTACTTAGGTAACTGGCAGTTAAGAAAAAGCTATAAAAATTATCAAAAAATATAGACTACAAAGTGCATTGTAGTATTGGGAAGATCCTCGTCTCACCTGGAATCCAGCAGATTATAATGGGACGGAAATGATTCGCGTGAATGCGGGGACGGTATGGCAGCCAGAGAATTCGATTAGTGAAGCGTACGTTACACTCCAAATTACACGTCAATAACCTGCTATTATAGATCAGTACTTTATGAGATCTATCCAGATCAAGTCAAAACAGTGACAATATATTCAAATGGTACGGTAGCATTGTTGCGGAAACAATATGCCGAGGCGTCTTGTATGATGAGTAATGTAAGGAATATTATATTGTGGGATTACGATAGAATACAACGTACAAACCATATTTTAGATAGCATTAATGCCATTTGATCGAGAAATCTGCTCAATATCAATAATGGTATTTTCGTATAATTATTGGGAGGTTGGAATGGTGTTGGAAGTGGCCGATCTACTTTTTGACTATATGGTTAGTCTGTTTAAACATTTTAATCGGCAAATTAAATTTATATAGTTTTTTTGGCAAATTTCCAGGCAGTTTAAAAGATGCGCCGGTTAAAAAATCCCTTAAATCAAAAATTTTCAATTTTTGTAGGGAAATAGCGAATGGAAGGTGGAGAATATGACAAAGGAAATCATCTTTATCAATGACAGTTTCTACAAATTTGATCAGGTATGCAAATTAGACAGACATCGACATTAATTTAAAAATACCGTATTTGCGGTGTTAAAATCCTATTTTAATTTTTTGGATCCCGATTTTTAGGCAAATTTCCACTTCCATTTGCGTCGGCAGCCCCATTTCTATATTTACGTAATTGTTGTCCCCTCTTCGATTCTTTCGATTCTCTCGATTATTGGAATGTTTGTCGGCCCAAATGATAGGCAGGATCAATTAACGAAGGTATCCCTTAAAAATTAATGGAAAACGTTAAAGCCTATTTTTTCTGTATTTTCAATGTATTTACTGCCATTTTCAGCTAACAATCGGTCTAACAAGTCTAATGTCAATTACCGTACTCCTGGATATTGTTACTTCGAGTATTCCGAAGAGTCAGACATTCCCATTGCTTGGTACGGCATATTAATGCTGCGAAATTAACGGATTTCGTTTCGGAAAAGGCTAGTAAGGCAGGGCATTTTCTTGATGGCTAGCAGTGGGCGAACATCGAGCTACAGTATCCCAAAATTCCGATGGCGAATAAGCAAATATTTAGCTTTTCCAGCTGGCTGTCAGATAACAAAAATCTTTCGCCACCGTTACATACTATCCACAAAAACAAACTTCAGTATCACATTTTTCTAGCTGCTGGGCAGATTGCCAAATTCCAATTACCGTAGCTCCAACTGCCAAAAACAAGGCTAAACCACGCCAAGTTCTGACCTGTCTGCTAGAAGGCCAAAATCCATTGTTATAGTGCCCCAAAAATATCATATTTCAGGAATCTTCGTAATAGTGAGTGTTGCTGTAATAGCTGTTGGTTGCGTGATACTTGTTGCTTTTCCCCGATCTACCGTAACCCCACGGAGTCCGAAGATGCCAAAGGACAGGTGAGGACATTTTCACGCTTCACTGGCCCTTTAGAAAGGCAAAAAAGACTGGATATTTTTGTTTTCAGATCGAGGATTGGAAAATTGTGTTCGGCCCTAACACAAATGCACGTGATATTGCATCTCCTCTTCCAGGCGGCAAATTTGATAAATTTGATCGTTTTCTTCTCATTTTGGCGTTGATTGGGAGACAGTTAAGGGTACTGTATACCTTTCAAATGCCAATATTTTATGCTAATAAATATATTGATCTCTTAACTGGTAGGCAGACAGCAGAAAAACATTCCGGGTTGGCAAATACGGGGAGGGCTACGCGGGGATACTTGAGAACATTCGAGGAATTTTCTGAATTGCTGCCTGTCATTTCCAAATTTTGATGCTGTTTTTTGCTACAACAATCCTTAATGTAATTTTAACGATTATGGCAGGTAATTTTGATATTTTCGGTCTTTAAAATCGTTTAAATTCAGACGAGACCTCTGAATTTATCGAAAATGCTCAAAAGGTTTACAATTCGCTATTTCGAGAGGGGAATTACAAAAAGGAGGTTGCGCCTATATATTCCAGGCCAGCTCAAGGTGAGAAAAAGTTAAAAAATAATTTTTACAAAACACAAAATTAATGGTTTAGAAGTTTTGCTTTATTTCTAGGGCATTTTGATGCTTGAAAGTGCATAAATAAAGCTCTAAAAATTCGAAACTTTTTAAAAAGATATTTTTCTAGACCATAACCCCGCAAAAATCGCCGAATTCAACGTAAACATCACGCTAAATTACGTGAAATTGATGGAAATAGTGGAGGAATTGGAGAGATCGAAGACATTACTCGAAGTATTGTTTGTAAGTTGAACAGCTTAAAAAGATTTAGGAAAATCGGTTAAAATTTAGGGTTGGGTGGACGAGCGATTAGCATGGAATTCATCTCAATTTGGTGGCATCGAACAGATAATTGTCGATTCGGGGAAAGTGTGGCTGCCCGAGAATAATTTTTATGATAGGTCAGATTGAGGAGATTTTCGTGGCGTAATCGACTAAACTTAGAAAATACAAATTTGATCACGCAATTGATTAAACCTAGAATTATATCAATTTTTAACCCGCTCATTAGAAGTCTATAAAACGCCCTAAAAGTGCAAACTGTGTGGTAATTTTTCTAAAAGCCCAGGAAATCTTTAGAATTTGGATTAAGCCACTTTTAAACAACTTAGAAAACTCCTTTAGTTCGGCAATTAATGAAATCCTTCCACCCGGCGGCTCTAACGCAGTGACTGTTTATTCTGATGGGACAGTCACTAATCTCCGTAAATTATACCTGGAATCGAATTGTGTTCTGGAGAATGTAGGACAGTCTTTTTATTAAAAAACGATACTTTTCCAGATTGGCCATTTCCCATTCGATAGAGAAGTGTGCGCCTTGCTATTAACAGTCTACTCCTACAATACTTGGGATCAAATGATGACGCTCGCCTTGAAAAGCTTCGATTTTGTCGAATTTGCGGTAAGCGAGCCTTAGCCTAGAAACTACGGTTCTAATAAAAGCTCTAAAACCGATTGCCCCCCATTAGTCATAAAACCATTAGTCATAAACTCGTTAGTCATAAACCCATTAGTCATAAATTCCATTAGTCATAAACCCATTAGTCATAAACCCATTAGTCATAAATTCCATTAGTCATAAACTCGTTAGTCATAAATCCATTAGTCATAAATTCCATTAGTCATAAACTCATTAGTCATAAATTCCATTTGTCATAAATTCAATAGTTATAAATTCCAATAGTCATAAATGTAATGAAACTGATGGCTTGGAAATGTTATTCTCTGACATAATCCCGTTAACAAATCCAAAATTAATAGGTTTAATGATATCCGATCACGTGCAACCAAGAAGTTTGATTCGAGAACACGACAAGGACCATCACATACACCTCAAAGCTTCAAACCTCAAACCTCGAAACTGAAAACTCAAAACTCAACACTCAAACCTCAAAATCTACGATTAATAAAATTTATGACTATTGAATTTATGACTATTGGAATTTATGACTTCTTAATTTATGACTAATGGAATTTATGACTAATGGATTTATGACTAATGGAATTTATGACTAATGGGTTTATGACTAATGGGTTTATGACTAATAAGTTTATGACTAATGAGGTTATGACTAATGGTTTTATGACTAATGGATTTCGCCCTCTAAAACTACAAAACCCCAGAGTACAAGCGAGTGGATCGTGGATGATGTTACCTATAAAGTTGGAATGGTCAATGATGCGACATATATCGAACCCTATGAATATGTAAGTTCAAAAACTTCAATAACATTTATCAGTCTATGAAATCTATATTCTGACATCCAGTTAATCAAACTATTCAACTAAAAACCTCTAGGGTGGCTTCTACCTCCATCTACGACGTCGTCCACATTTCTACCTCTACGTCATTGTCATTCCCTGTCTCATCCTATCTTCTTTGTCTATTTTTGGAATGTTTTTAACGACTACAAAAAAGGATAAACGGATTGAAAAGGTATATAACCGTCAAAGACTATATAAAATCTTTTTAGCTAGCCCTGGGAATGTCGAGTCTAATGTCAATCGCTCTTCTAATGGAGATTCTAGCCGATTTGGTGCCGAAAAGCAAACATTTTCCATTGTTAGGTATCATCCTTTACCTTAAAAAAAAAATCGATTAAGGCATCTACATCACGGTTTGTATCTTTACCGTTGGTGGAAGTTGTATAGCGCTTATTGTAATGCCTCCTTACACCGCCAAGACCGAGAAAATGGATATAAAACTGTAAAAAACACGCAAAAAATCAATTTTCAAACAATTTTAGATGCGAAAAACTGGTGGACTGGATGAAACGACGACAAACAATGATGTTGTTGCTTTTTGAAACCATTAATTTGGCAAATTTTATTGTTTTTATGTCGTTTTGGTGAAGGCTGAATAAATGGGCGGCTAAAACAATCGATGTACTCTGAAAAATCACATGAAAAAGTCTGAAATTTTTCTGTTTATGAAAGTTTCTCTTCTCCCTTGTTCCCTTGTTTTTTGGCAGAAATTTCGCCAATATTTTGGGTAAAATCCACAAATTATTTTGTCAGCAAAATAATCGGCCAAACCTTTTGGAATTTTTTTAGCTGGGCAGTAAGTAATGAGATCTTTGTCGGTAGAAACCCCTTTCTGTCAGCTAGAATGTTAGTGTTTGCCCTGATCCTCTTTTCTCTTCCCTCTTCCGGTCCATCCATTTTGACTGTTCTCCAGGGCTGTTCACGGACGGGCCGGGCCAGCCCGGGACGGGCCGGACGGGCTGACGACCCAATTTGCATAAAATTGGCGGACGGGCTGGGACGGGCTGGGTAGCGGGCTGGACGGGCCGGGCTGAGCGGGCTGGAGCGGGCTGGGGTTATGCAAATCTGCTATGTTAATCATCCCGGGGTAAATTAACACAGAGAAGGCAATGTGATCAGGTGACGTTTTATGCCCTTGGTTAATAAAGATTTACGGGATGTTTATTGTTTTCAGGTTAGCAGGACTCTCATTTTGGTGTTATGGGGGGGAGAGAGCCAAGTTTTATTTTTATTTTTATTTCATTGATCTGTTAAAGATACATGTGCATTGTTACACTAATTTTTGTAGTTTTTGATTGCTTAAACTAACAACAACAATCGTACAAATTGTTGAAAATTGGCTAATTTAGACTTTTTTGGTAATTTTTCATAGTTTTTGATCAAAATAAATCAAAAATTTGCGAAAATTTGATAATTTTTTATCAGGTTTATATTTAGAAAGTGTACAATACTATGAAACTAGTTTCTATTTCCCCGCGCTAGGCTCTTGCCTCATCCTTGGATGTAATTAACATAGCAGATTTGCATAACCCCAGCCCGCTCCAGCCCGCTCAGCCCGGCCCGTCCAGCCCGCTACCCAGCCCGTCCCAGCCCGTCCGCTAATTTTATGCAAATTGGGTCGTCAGCCCGTCCGGCCCCGGACGCCCGCGGGCCGGGCTCGAAATGACCAACCCTGCTGTTCTCTGTCCCTTCCCCTCCAATTGATCGCACTTTGTGCACCCGCCAAGTCAGTCTGCCGATCCACCTTCCAGCGATCAGCCGTTTTTTCCTTGACACCACCTCATATTTTGTTGTTTTCGTACAGTTTCCTTGTTTTCTTTGTTAGGATTTCAATTTTAGATATGGACCGAATTTTGCGTGGTGTTATCAAGTATCGGCAGACCGTTCGAAAGGATTTGGTCAAACAATTTGAGAAGATTCGCGATAATCCAAATGTTTGTTTCATTTTAATATGATTGTTATGGCTTAGAAATACGCCTGAAAGGAAGATTCGTCGATTTTGTCACCTTTTGATAAGTATTTCACGCTTTTAAAAAATTTTTGGTGAATTTTAGCAATTTTCAAAGTATTTTTATGATTTTCATGCTTCAGTAACCGATAAAACCTAAAGCAAAATCGGTTATTAAGCCTTTTTAGCGACAAAACCCCTTAGAAAACCATATTTTTAGCCGCTAGCCGTGATGTTCACGTGTATGGATTCGCGTATGTTGCCGACTCGATTTACCCAGGCTGCGGTTGGGGATATGTTTGTCGTTAGGAATGCTGGGAATATTGTGCCCGATGCACAGAATTATGGTCATTTTTCCAAAAAATCGAATTTCAGATTAAAGCCAGATTGCCAATGGATTACGACATGTAATTAAGGGTGTTAGGCGTTATTGAGAGCAAAAAATACTGTAAAAAGCTAGAAAATTTCAGGACATCACTCGGAAGTGTCAGTAACGACAGAACCAGCCGCATTGGAATTGGCAGTGAAGAGAGGAGGGATCAAGCACGTCCTCGTTTGCGGGCATAGCGATTGTAAAGTCAGTTTTTTGGTTTTATGGTAATTTAATGTACCATTAGCTTGTTTAACAGCAAATTTAGGCAATGAATCTGCTCTACGATTTGCACGTGTGCCCGAAAGAATTCAGCGCGGCCTCTCCGATGGACAGTTGGGTGCGGAAGAATGGATATAAAAGTATACAGCGGTTAGTTGAAGTTTTTTTACTTGGAATTAATGATTAGAAAGTAGAAAAATTGTGCTTTTGGTCATATTTAATAGTGTGGGGACCCCGGATCCTCAGGCCCCTCTCTGCACTTGCAGGGTCGGGGAGGCGGGCCCCAAGGGCGACGGGTATTTAAGGCTTCATAGGAGGAGGAGCAGCCATGCATCCTCACCACGCTCAAGGAATAAACTAGTTGAGTATTCGAGATCCAATCGGCGAACTAAATAGCAACATACGAACCCGAGGGACCTATCAGATCAGGGTCCCCACAAAAATTGGTGCATCGGCCGGCGGTGTTCCAAATTCGTGTTGCTAGGTAGTTCACATTGGTGATCGACTCAACCACTTTTTCCGGTGGTGTGTTTTTTTTTGACACGCGCGAGTGCGGGAGCCAGTGCTCCATTTATATTTGTCCACAAGGACTAGGCCACAGAAGGTCATTTCAGCCGCCGTCGAGCGGAGCAGCCCTAGAAGGTAAGGGTGAGTTGAAGGTACGGAGCCAGTGCTCCTATTCCGTCAGGTGGGTTTAACCCCATTTCCCGAAAGGGAGAAACGAAGCGAACCAGTGTTCACTTAACTATCCGTCCCGAGCGGACCCGAGGACCTCTAGAAGGCCACCCGAGCGATCATTCGCAGAAGCACCCTGAAACAAGGGACCAAAATTTCAGCCCCGATACGGAAAATCAGCTGATCCGGCGAAATCGTCGGTACCTGTGAAGCACAGGAACGCGCAAACCCGGTAAGAGGAGGTAAAATTTATTGGGTTTTGGCATTAAAATCCGTTGCGAGTGGCACGCAATATGGATAGATTGAGGAGAGGACCTCACACGATCGAGTCGCTGAGATTGGCAATCGAGGCACTGGATCGTCAGCAGTACCGTGCAGACGCTCCAGAACGAACGTTGTTTCATTTAGACAACATCGTCAACGACACTGAAATTAGCATTGAACTTGGTATCCAGGCCCTGGACGATTTCTATCCGTTACAAGAGCCAATTCAGCAAGCGCCTGGAATACGTCTAGTCGAAGCCATCAATGAGCGTAGAACGGAATTAAATAAGGTCTTCCTCGAAGCGCAGCTAATTATGAAAAGGTCGATAATTCTGCTAACCGCACTAGGTTCAAATAAGTATTTGTGCGTACCCGCAAGCAGAGCGTTCCTGCTGTACGAGCAAGCGTCACGCCAGTCCGGAATCCGATTAAATGAGCTAGCTAGAACGATGGAAAACTTGCAATTTCTTGTACAAACCGCCAATAGGGCAATTGAGGCTAATATAAGAGCACAGCGCCTTCAAGGCGTGAACGAAATTCAGCTTGAAATAATCACGATCGCAGCTTACCAAGCTCCACTCCTCGCTGAAGTCGCCATGAATCCAGCCTTTAATGCGGCCCCGCCAGTCGGGAATCGCGCAGCTCAGCCTGAAAATGACTTGGTTCGTCAGATGATGGTACAAATGGGTGTGAGAGACGACGAGGACTCTCTTATGAAAATTATGAAGCCGTATGACGGGAATCCACTTCGTTGGGCAGAATTTCATTCGGTATTCACGCAAGAAGTGCACGAGAATGCAAGGCTTAATAATTTGCAAAAATTGGCGAAGCTCAAAAAGGCCGTTACTGGAAAACTAGCGGCAGACTTGGAGCCATTTATGATACACGACGGACAATACGAGCCCGCCTGGGAATTCGTGCAAGCACGCTATGGAGATCGAATTAAGATACAAAACGCGCTCGATGCCGAATTAAAAGCAATTCCGGAAGCTACGTCCGATTCCGAATCCCTTCGCAATACTGTCAACAAACTGAAGGTTTTGTCAGCTAGTATGGCAGATGTGATCGATGTCGAACACCCAGCTATTCGACAGAATATGGAAAAGCTGATACCTGGTGACATCCTCATATTGGTCAAACGCGATATGGGAGCCAACAACACTACGGCTCGGTTCTTGGAATGCCTGGAAAAGGTAGTCGATTCAAAAGAATATGTCGATTCACTGCAAAAAGGGAAATTCCAGGCCGGCCACACCGTGCTTCAATTCCAACCTACCTATGATGACGAGCAGCAGTGCCAAAAATGGCCATGCCCATTTTGCGGCCTCAGAAATCATCGAGCGCACGATTGCATCGAATACGCATCGGTCGACGAGCGTATTGATCGCCTGAAAGAAAAAGATAAGTGCCTCCGATGTCTAAGCGGAGAGCACCGGGCCAGAGATTGCCAACGAGATATTACCTGCTTCCGATGCGGAGGTAGACATCACGCCGCTATTTGCAAAAGAGAAGAATCGGAAGAATCAGAAGATGACGAGAACGAAAGCGATTGGAGTGATCGGTCCACAACCCCTGAATCGGAGGGTGAAGAGCAAAATACGGAGGAGTCGTACTCGTCCGATAGAAGCGAAAGCAGCGAAACCGCCGATCGAGGAAAGCATGGAAATCGACGTTCAAGCTCCTTGGAAAAAGAGAATAGACACTACTTTTCACGTGGCAAACGGTCCCGGTATCGGGAGGAGGATCCCGCGCGAAGCTCGTCGCGCGATTCTTACAAAAATCACTCCCGAGACAGCCATAGACAGAAGAAACTAAATACGGGTCGATCACGACCCCAAGAAAGCGCTGAAAGAAGCGGGCACTACAATTCTCCAAGGCCAAAATCTAAACATGACAGAAAGCGTGATTATGCAGAGCCCCGCCACTGTTATGTGTCTCAGGTAGTACGTCCATGCTATAAGGTGAATAATCACCTGGATCCACCAATTTCACAAAATTCCGGATTTCACGATTCCGGCCCAGAAATGGATCTTTCACATCTTATTCCTCTTCTTTCCACTAGAATTCACGACTTGGAGGAAAAGCCAGCGACAGTAGTCGCAGCATTACAGCAGCCCAAGGCTACAGTGGATTTCGCAACCGTGGGCGATCAGGCCACCGAGAACGGAGGGCCAGGGGCAAAGGGCCAATTAATCCACCCACGGGAGAAAGGTCTGGAACTCGAAAGTTTCGAAAAAGGACCCCCGAAAAACACCTTCGAGAAGGTTCTGGGAGGATCTAGCCAGCGAGATCAAGCTAATCTTGGTAGGGAAAAGCGGGTCCCGAGGCCAGATCCGAGATTACAGCGAGGCCAACTGCGCCCGCTGGACAAGAATGCGGCTAGTGAAAGCCCCCAGGGGCCGAAAGAGCGGCAAAGGGAAAGACAGGAAGGGCCCCCAGGCAGGGCCAGCCCTGATCCCTCTCGCAATCGACGATCCCAGCCCCCACCCGAGGGGCCAAAATCGCAAAATCCCGAGTCGAGGGAAAGCAAAAGCCAAAGTGCTAGGAAAATGCGAGGAGGCTCTCAACCTCTAGCATATCATAAATACGCATTGCTAATCATAACGTGCATGACTTTCATATCGGGAACCTGTGGAGCTCCTGTAGTAGGTGTTTCTCATCAGGAGAAACTAGACATTACCGCCTTTAAGCCAATATTTGTTAGTCAAAAATCAATCCCTACTTCTCTGAGAATCCTAACTGAGGCTTTAAGCACTGCAAAAGGAGCCATTGCCACCTTTAAACCGATTCTAGAAAAATGGTCTACTAAAATGACGACTTCAACTCTAAGCAAAGCACGGATTCTCCCAGTTCTATTAGGAAAGATAGACAGAATCACCAGCGCCAAACAGAATTTTACGGCCCCCACTAATCCTCTTATAGAAGGAACGGAAAATTCCTTGAAATTGATTGAGAAGACTTCGAAGCTCAAGCTCAAAATAGCGACCGAAATCCCATTTATCGGAGGAATCGGAAAATTGGCAAAGAATTGGAACAGTCAAGCTACGCTGCATTTCAGTCTCACAGTACTGCTCATTGTCGCAGTGCCCATTGCAGGTGTTCTGAGCTATCCCTTGTGGAGTGGGTTACTGAAACGAAGCCGTAGGCATAAACACTCAGAAAATGTCAGTATAGAAACCGCACGCAAAAGTCAATCAATTGCCGCCCCCACTATTCAGCATGTTTAATATGGTTCTAACTTCCATTAGTATTTGAAAAAATGAAAACCGAGAAATGCTTTTAAATTGTTTGTTTTTTAAAATGCCCGTCTGCCACGCGGACGTAAGGCTATAACCGACGCACCTTGCTAAAATTTAGAGATTACGCTGGAGAGGCGTAGGAGAGTGCGGAGAGCACAATCTCTTCCCCTTTTGTCTTTGTTTCCCTCTCCCCTCTTCCCCCATCCCCTCTCTTCGCCCCTACTTCCCCCCTTTTTTCTATCATATTACCACCGTTTCACCTAATTTTCTTGGCTTCCTTTTACATCACACCTTGAATCAAAACCTTTAAGTAGCGAATCACTTTTATTTACATTTCGTATTGTAATTGGTGCTCGATGGACGGATGAGAGGCCACCAGATAGCTGATGAGATGGATATGCACGAGCAACACATCAACCAGATAAGCCAACTTAACAGTCACCGTATACTGTATTACAAATGCCAAAATACCAATTAACTGCCGCCCCCCATTGGAAACTCCACCTGCGGCCCCCCATTGCAAACTCATTTTTATGGCATCAACAACCATGTATCAGCAAGAACTACCGTATGTATTCTCCATTGAGACGCTCGACAAGCTACTTACCGTGCTTTATCTCATCCCGTAAAATTCTACAACCAAATCCACTGAACACTGACGCCCCCGCCCCCTCCGTCCCCAATTCCATGAAGTTTTCAAATTATTTCTATAATTTTTTTCTTAAATTTCTTTCCTATCGACATTTGGAATTATGATTATGCTTATTTCGCCTCCCCTCCTTGAGGTCTTGAATACTCGCCGGCCACCCTTGTGGGGACCCCGGATCCTCAGGCCCCTCTCTGCACTTGCAGGGTCGGGGAGGCGGGCCCCAAGGGCGACGGGTATTTAAGGCTTCATAGGAGGAGGAGCAGCTATGCATCCTCACCACGCTCAAGGAATAAACTAGTTGAGTATTCGAGATCCAATCGGCGAACTAAATAGCAACATACGAACCCGAGGGACCTATCAGATCAGGGTCCCCACAAATAGGTATTACTTTTTTAGATTAAACGATCGCCTTCACAATGGTCCGCGAGCGATGAAATTCTCGTCGGACGTCTCTCCTAGCCAATCTTTTGAAGCGATTATCGATCCGTTTGATAAGCTACACGTTCATGATAAATTATCACAGGTGGGAAACTACAAACTACAACAATTTTCGATATAATTTATACTGTAAACTCGCAAATTTGCAGATCAACGTCCTCCAGCAAATCATCAACATTGCTTCTCATGAATTTTTGAAGGAATATTTGGAGGTTATTTTATTTTATAGCCTCGATATTCCATAGTTTTAGAGCGGCAAGCTATTCCTGCATGGAATGTGGTTCGACATCTACTCGGGGAATAACTATTTGTTCAGCAAGGATGATAGGAGATATGTTTCTATTGAGGTAAGAGAGTGGAGAATGGTTTTCGCTGAGATTTTGTAGTTTGTAGTCTATAGTTCAGCTGTCATTTAACAAATTGAGATTTTAAACTTGGCTACAGACTACAAAATACGCTTTTTTCGAGAGAATACTGTCAAAACCTCCAGTTTTTCGACATTTTTTTTGTTTGTGGCTTATAGTTTATTAGTTTTTGCCCGAAACAAGATTTTCAACAAATTTCGTGGCCTTGTGAAGACTACAAACTCTAAAGAATTTGTCATTTTTAGGAAAACACGGTCGAAAAACTGATGGCCGAGCTGGAGAAACGGTGCGGATAAGCTGTCATTCCGGAGAATGTGGCCAAAGTCGAGGCTACTCGATATTCTTGATATATCTATTTTTAGTATACAGGGTGTCCCATAAAAAGCACCCCTCCCGCATTTTTCCATATTACATCCGATCGGTCCCAGATTTGGACTAGAGGTGTATTGGACCCTAAATAACCACAATCCTGAGTTATAGCCCGCCAGCTACAGTAGTTTTCGAGATACAGCAAAAATAAACTTTATTATGCGTTTTTCATAAGGTTTTCGTCGGAATCGACCCTTCCAACCTTAAGTGAAAATGAAGCGGCAAGCGTTCTTTACCCTTAGAAATTTTTTCCTGATAAAAATTCATCAAATAACCGTTAATTTCAACAATTTTTGTAACCGAAAGTCACCCCCGATATTAAGCGGAATTAGGGATTCGCAGCCGGAAGTCGATGCAAATCGATGCAAAGTCCAAAAAGATAGCCGAAAAAACTGTTAAGAATCGCGTGAAAAATAGGATTTTGGCAATAACTTGAAAGCTACTGTAGCAATCCGGCTATAACTCAGGATTGTGGTTATTTAGGGTCTGATATACCCTTGTGCAAAGTATGGGACCGATCGGACGTAATATGGCGAAATGCGGGAGGGGTGCTTTTTTTTGGGACACCCTGTATTTTAATGCGGGTTAACTTTCTCGATTCCATAGCATTTTCATAGTTCTTTGAATACAGATTTATGCATTTATTGGGTGAGATTTTACACGCTATCATTGACAATATCACGACAGTTATGGCGACCGCCCTAAATACAATTTTTTTTTGTAGCAACTAAAATAAACCGTACGTTTTGTAGTATAATCCATAGACATTTCCCATCCCTTCCCGATCTCTTATTTCCACAACAGAATCCTAGCTCGCATTCAAATTCGTGTTTGCAGTCCTGGCCGTCCTGAAAAAAATGAGAATTTAAAAAAATATAGATTTTGCGAGCAAATTAGGGCCTCTAAAGCTCCTAAAGGGTTTCTGTGCCGGCTTGCTTGGATCCCAGAATAAAACGGACCTCGGGATGTTTGGGAACGGCTCTTCTGGCCCTATCGACTTGACTGGACATTAAATCGTATCTAAAGCAGCATTAATAAACATAGATGTTCCTTTACGGTAAAGCGTCGACTACTGTCAATGCAAAAACGGCTAGGAAGAGAGCGAGGAATCGAAGGGAGGCGCACATTTTAAAGTGATATTTCGGCTCCTCGTTCCCATGTCTGAATTGCCGCATTTTTCGAATATTTTATTGAAATTGAGGGGTATTTTTGGCCGGTGGATGTAAGTTATAAAATATTGCGAGGGCAGCATCAAGAAAAAAACCCCCTATAATATTTTGTAACTGTCCGCAATTTTTTAAAAAGATGCTCCTGATTCAGTTATCGATGCACTCCTCCTCGAGCCGCACTAACTTTGTCCGCAACAAAATAGGCCGACCTAATGATAGATAAGCCAGAGAAGAGGCCCCGTTGTGGGAAATCAATGGCAAGATTCCGCCCATCACGGCTTCCAATCCCTCCAAAATTAACTTGCTAAAAATGTAATCTCAGTTTAATTCGATAGTCATTGCATTCCATTCAATCGTTTCCAATGTTGTTCCGTTTCTTCACAAATCTATCGATTGATAGACTACCCCCCCCCCCACCACCAATGGTCTATTCCTCCAAACACATAGTATTTTTCTTTATGTTGAACGGCTACAACGCTCTTGATTGCATCGTGTGATCAATAGGTAGTTGTTTAGACAGCTAGGACAAAGCGATGGCAAGCCTTCCTGCCAGTGACGATTCAACAACTATGAATCTTCTCTCGCCTCCTTCGCTCTCACGCGTTCATTTCAATGCACCCCCAATTGGTGCTAATGACTTACTGGGTTCTGGAGGTTTCGGCGCTGTATACCTTGAAACCAGGAATGGACGGTAGGTACTAATGCCGTGACAATAATTGTTCCTGCGGGGCTTTGTCGTTTAGCCGTGTTTTGCAGATCTGTGGCCGTCAAGCGGCTTCTGTATGTTCGACATCTCACTCATCTTCGTCGTGAAGTCAAAAACCTTCAAAAGCTGTCCCACCCAAATATTGTGAGATATATCGAGTTCTACACTAGTGATGGAGGGCAAACTTCCAATATTGTCACTGAATATTGCCCACGGGGAGATTTGAGAAAATGTCAGTAAGATCACTTTGACTTCAGACGTACTCTATCTAGTCATTAACGACAAGGATCAACGCTATTCCATTTCTCTTGTGATCGATTGGGCATGCCAAATATTTGACACTTTGGTCTATCTTGAAAAAGAAAGGATCTATCATCGAGATATCAAACCAGCTAAGTCCTTTTTGTCCAAAAAAGGATGTTAAAGCGCTGAATTTAGTATACTACTTGGAGAGAAATGCGAAATCAAACTATGCGACTTCGGTCTGTCAAAATCGGAGATTACGGAAAATTCTGGGTGAGATTCCCTAAAGCGCAGTTTCGCCATATTCAGAAAAAGTTTAGTTACAACGTTAGTGGCACGATGCGATATATGCCTCCGGAAACATTCGACACGATTAACGGGGAACGAATAGTATCTAGATATCAATACCCCGGCTTATAATTGTTTAGTATACATATGCTAGTGATCTCTATTCTGTCGGTATTGTTCTCTGGGAATGTATCGAAAGACGGTACGTGATTTTCCGTTGCACAGAAAGGTGCGGAAGGATATCTACAGGGTGGCCCGAAAGTACGTTGCCCGCGATTTTTCGGATTTTCTAAAAAACTAGAAGTACAGACAGGTTCATATTGACATATTTAATTTCTTATACAATTACCTTCAACATGGTATTATTACTTTTCCTATTGACTGACTTTTATGGATTGACTGACTGGCCGAGAATATTGCTGAAAATGAGGTGCCGGCACGCGGGTACTCGGCATCGTATTTGCCTCATAACTCAGCGAAGATTTGACTGAGGGTGTTCAAATTTGGATGAGAACTAGCCAAGTTCTAGGCCTTCAAGATCTATCACACCAAAAAAACCAGCTTGGCGTGTTTTGTTGACACCCTGGGCTGTGTTTCAGAGCGGTGTTTGGCAACATCAGCAAATCGGCGATCCTTTTCGCCCGAATGTTTCATGGTGTCCCACTAGAAAGGGCAGCTTGCAGAAATTGTGTTGCTGACCTCATAGACAAGTTTGTTAATTTAACAGATCTCAGTAAAAGATCCTAGATGTGTCCGTCGGGTGCCAGAAAATAGGCCAGCTGCGGCAAAAGCATTAGATGAAGCAAGTGGCTTGAAAAATGTTGGTGTTATTTTCGAAACTTTAAAGTACGCTAATATTTTAGGAGCCATTTTATGCAGAATTCTGTACAAGATTGTATTGGTTGGAACCAGACTCCAAAAATACGTTACCCCGGCCTGTGGATGGCAAATGTGAGCCAGAACCAACAATTGAAGCGCAAGTAGGATCTATTTAAGAAGACTATACATCACTAAAGGGGTTTCACTTATCTCCGGCCTTTGCCTTTTTCTTTGGATTGTACAGTACATGCTTTTACTATAGCGCAAAAATATCTTTATCAACCTAGGCAAAACTATTCTTGAGCTCATCCTAGCAAAATTTCAATCAAGGGTTAAAGGGTTAGTTAAGGCAATAAAGTAAAAGAATTTCTGCATTTTTGTATCTGCGTCTCCCTCATTTCCCCGCGATCTAATAGCTGTCGTAATGGGGGACTGTCCATGCGCGCTATCTCTCCGTACATAGTGCCCCAAGGTACCAACCCAAGCTCTAAAAGTTGAACTAGCCCTTTAATGGGATGACTGAACAATTCAGGGGACGGGGTGAGTGGCTGCGATGGAACCGCCTACCGATTCTCCAGCCGAGAACCGATTATAATTGAACGTTTCAGCTCGAAGCATCTGCTGAACTTGTGGAAATCGTCGACAAAATGAGAGAAGGAAAAGAAGTGACTGTGGAAGAGAAATGGGTGAAGAAAGCGATCGAGAGGAAAATGATTGTGAGAAGACATTTGGAAGTCTGTAGTTTTGGCTATTTCAGCCGGCTGAATTCACCTCGGAGGATGGGTTTCAACTTGACATTACGTACGTGGTGATTTATATTAGAAGAGCGCAAGTTTCAGAATTGACCCCGGAGAATGGAAGATCAAGCATCAATTTGTGGAGGGAAAAACGGATCTCCACGAAGTATATTGTTCTTTCGTTGAGGCATTAGGTATTATATCTTCGTATAATAAAACAAACAATATTAGGGAATTGCCGGAAAGATGATCCATATCTGCGTCTCTCCTTTTCTGCAGCCATATCTTGTGATATCAGCCGGATGATGAATATTCTTCATTCTCCAATATTCCGCGTAAGGCTTTTTTGCATTTTCGAGGGAATTAGCCCCCGTTCTTGATTTCTTGATATTTTTAATACATAGCATTCTTAAAAGAATTTAGGGAGTATTGTCGAGAACGCGCGGCTGGCTCTCACTTCAAAACAGTCAAGAATATCCATCCGAGGTAAAACATATCCCCCTTTTTTATATCAACCGTTCTACAGATGGCTGTTTATGAATGTGCCGGTGTATGGAAAGAACTATTGTTGTGGGGTAATTGTCTTCTTTTTCTATTCAATTGCCAAGAAATTTCTTGCGGCAATCGATTTGGGATATTTTTAAGAATAGTTTTGATATGCAAGTTTAATCCAGAATGTTATGTTTCATTCGACTGCCTTGAGTAATTTTTGAAGCGAATCTTTTATGATACGTTCTGTAATATGATTAACAGGTAATGATTCGGGAGAGGATGGGATCAACTGTTCATCATTTGCAATTCGAAATATACAGGTAAATCATGAGAATAGACAACCAAATAAAAATTCATTTTAGAAACTTTTGAATGGAGGGACATCCGAGGGTAGGGGATTTGACATCCACCGTGGCCCCTGGGTATTCTGAATTGGTCAAATTATATTGCATTTCCCTATTCAGCATTTCCCATTTATCGGCGAGAAACAGAAGGCTTTTGAGGAGAAATATAATGTTCGAATTGCTTTGATTACACACGAAAGGGACGAGAGGTAATCATCAAGAGATATCCTCGAAAATATCCAAGCAAATACTTGACGTGTATTTTCACAATAGACGCGTAGCTTCTTTTTATTAGCCTGTTCGGGAAATTTGGAAGACACAATTTTGCATTGGCCTCTCATCACTCGCCGCTAATTCTAAGTATCGTCATGGAATGAATGGAATTTTGACAGAGAGCTCTATTTTTCAAGTTGGGGATTTCGAGTTGTCCGGTAGATCGGCATCTATTAGTCCGCGATAAACAATAACATTTGTATTCTTTTTATAGATATTCTGATTTAGTACTGACCGACTTCTCAGTATCTTCCCGTGCAACAAGGTAATGACTCTTTTCATGGTCATTATTAAGCCTCAATTTCAGCCGGAGACACTCCTCAGCTTGGGTGATGGATCGGAGCGGTAGGACATCATCTGTCTTCCACTATACTAGGGAATTGCACAGATACTTCGAGATTTCCATGGCTTCTCCCTTCGATATCGGGAAATACGAGCAAATGGAGGTCAGTCAGTCCAAATAAATGTTGGGTCATTTTGGAAGAGGCCGAGTAATTGCCAATCAAATATTAAAAGTATTCAGAGGCTGTAAGAAAAAGCGAAATTTTAGTTGGGAATCATGGCAAAAGACGAGACAATGAAAGTGACATCGGAGAAGATCAATGAATGGACATACAAACGGACAATGGAACCGGAAGAAGAGGGGGAAGAGCCATGGATCTGGACGGTAGGTGAATGGAAGCGAAAATTGGAATACCAGATACCGAATGCCGCATTTGATTTACAGGCAAACTATCGACCGACATTTGATGATATCAATTGTTTCCATTGTCTCAAGGGTCCATTACCAGATATGTCTTATTGTAGCGAATTCCATGAAATGTGTTAGGAGCAATTGATTTTATTTCTTTGTGGCAGATCGAAACCATTTTCATGCAATTCTCAACTTTGCCCGTAAAAAAATTTGAATTTCAACCTTGCTAAATTTCCAATTTTTTTGATTTTTTAAAACAGTTTTGTAGTTCGGCTTGTATAGCAGCAATTAAAAATGGATAAATCTTTATACCCGCATCAAAACATACCCATCAAATAAACAAAATTAATAACCAAAAGATAGAAGACAATCACAATCGACCGGTAATATTTGTGCCCAATCTTTGGAGGTGTGTGTTGGAGCGTGGCGTGTTCAGTTGGGAGGAATTTTCGGCGGAAAAGAGACGTCGGCGTTCGTAAAGCACTTCTGAAAAAATCGCAATTGTAAAGTAAAAAAAATGGAGATTTTCCAAGTTAAAAATAGCAAAATTAATCAAACTTTAAAAAACGTACGCAAATTGGAGTGATAGATGCGATTATGGGGGTCGATCTGGATGGCTTTTCTCAGATGATATTCTCCCTCTTCAAATCGATTCAATTGGCCATAGCAAGTTCCCAACTGAAAATAATCCTAAATAATTATCGATAAATAATTATCGCGTGGTTTTATTTAACAACCACCGCCCAAAACCCGCTTCGCGGGCCTTGGGCGCTGGAATGCGGCCTTTGCATGAGAAATTTGACTTTCCGATAGCTTGGGTCCTCCGTAGTGTTGGTTTTTAGTCCAAAGTCCACGGACTTTTTCGGACTAAAAAGTCCGCGGACTAAAAAGTCCACGGACTTTTTCGGACTAAAAAGTCCGCGGACTAAAGTCCACGGACTTTTTCGGACTAAAAAGTCCGCGGACTAAAAAGTCCACGGACTTTTTCGGACTAAAAAGTCCGCGGACTAAAAAGTCCACGGACTTTTTGGATTGCAAAAGTCCGCGGACTTTTTAGTCGTGGAACCTCGGGGGTTTTGAATTAAAAAGTCTGCGCCAGCATTTCCGCTTCCCATTCGTTTATGGCTCGACGAAAAAACCCGCAAACCATTTTTAATTGGCACGCCATCTCATCTACATCGAAATATACAATTGTCCTTGTCGTTTTCTCTTACACGGTTTAAATTTGCGGCCAAGTAATCGTTATATTTTCAGGTAGAACTTGGTAAAATGGGAGGGTCGGCAGATGATCCGCGTCTAACAAGGGGAGAGAATTACAGGTCAGTGTTTATGTCATACTAATGAATGCTTTGGCAGTGCGACGACGATTCGGCAGCACATTGTTACGGTCGGAGATTCCTCAAAATGCAACTTCTGTGGGGCGATGTTCATCACCAAAGGCGGGCTGTCGGCAATCGGCCGCCATCTGAAGAAACATCTGGACGGTGATAATCCAGAGGTAATATTTTTCTGGTCGACTATCAAGCTATATACATAGGCCCCTAGCCCAAAAAGGCCCGTCAGCGACAAGGCTAGCCCGCGGCAGCTCCTGCAGAAAAGACCGGTATAATTTTAAGGATTGATTCATGGAAAAGGATGTTTAGCAGGAGATTGACGATAAATGCCTGAACCTGATACTGTCAGCTAATCTGTCGTTCAACATTGTGGAGAATCACGATTGGAAGTAGGTGTTGCGTCTAAGCTTGATCCTTGGTTTAGGGGAATATACATTGGCAGTGAGTGGTGGGCGAACCAAAGGACCGACGCGGCATGCATTGTCGGGACCAATCCTCGACAGGCGGTACGGGGAACTAAAGGTTGGCGGATCTACGATGTTCCTAATTGTAATTTAGAATCTGTTGTGCGAGAGGCTGAAGGATGCGGTAAATATCGGGCTAAGTTTTGACTCCTGGTCGTCGAAGGCAAATACTGTCAGCCTACATTGGTAAAATTGAATCATTTTATTAAGCTTCCCCATTTTAGCACATACATTCATTGGTCTGACGCACAGATGACGCGACAAAATGCCCTGTTATCAATTGAAGACGTGACTAACAAGAAACAAGATGCCACATTCCTTTCCGAGGCAAGTTTACTCCGCGATTGGCGGTCTAAAATAGTATATTTAGATAGTCCTGGAGGATCTGCGAGATTTCCAAATTCCATTTGAGAAATTGGTTGGCTTCACCACCGATGGTGCCGCGAATGAAAAGTGTGCATCGAGGCGACTCGCTACGAAGGCGGGATTAAGGTAACCCCAGACATTTCGCTATACCTTTTCTTCTAGTGACGAGACTTGGGTTCACTGCATTGCCCACCTGCTACAACTGGTCGTTCTCGCCGGGCTCGACGATCCGAAAATCGAAGATCTTTTGTCGAGAATCCGTCATAACATCAAGACGATTCGCAAATCTACAAGGCTAAAAGCATTATTTGAAGAGTAAGCTAAGGATCCAATAACTTTAATTTTATTTAGGCTGCAAAAGAAGTGGGGAATCCCTGTGAGACGAGCCCTGCTAGACGTCAGAACTCGCTGGGGTGCTACCTATGAGATGTTGGCCCTTTTCTTCCGACAGGTTGAGAAAATCAAAATGGGTCGCAATGTCTCTTTTAGCGGCAAGTCTATGAAGCTATGCGAGTGCAGAAGGGCATGTTCGAGATTGCCGAAGATGAGTGGCAAATCATTGAAGATCTCCTTCAAATATTGAAGTATTTTCATTGGTTTACCAAAAAAGTGAGTTTAACTACTTCTCTATTCAATGTTGGTTTAGTTCTCCGCTGATCAGATCACGATTTTCGAATATATGTATGCCCTGAATATCTTGCAGAAGGGCTTTGAAAGGTTAGTGATTTCTTCTTATCGGTAACGTGCCGTACCATAGCAGCCATCAATACCGCACCGAGGTTGGCACCAAATTAGCCGAAAGGATGGCGGAGCAGTTGGCGACTCGGGTGGAGGTAAATTGATTGTCCGCGGATGTGAACAGCAGGTTCAGGCAGCGAAGCGCAGCAAATTGATCCTAGCCGCAGCGGCCTTGTGCCCTTATTCATGGGGCTCGGTCAGGGTCTTCTTTGAGGAAGATATGGCTGTTCAGGAGGGCGCGCTAGTTGCTCTTGGAAAAGGTAAATAATCAACTTATACTGAGTTTTTTCTTAGATTTACTCCAGAGCGTAGAGCCGTCCGAGTCTGTCGGGCCGTCGCAGTACGAGAATCCAGCGCCAAGAAAACGATCCTGGGCTAGCACCCAAGGGGACGAAGCTAACGACCCCATTGGCGCCTTGCTGACCGCCCCTACACAGCGGCTCGACCTGACGCATCTCCGCAAGCCGAAGGACGTCGAGGAAAGCATCAAGGTCGGGGCGGCTTTTCCCTGGTATCTCCATTTCAGATAGAGTTGATGCTGATAAATGAAGCCTTCGAGTCCGAGAATTGCCCCGTGTACTTGGATTCCGGTGATTATGTGACACGCTTTTGGAAGAACCCTCGGCGATGTCCATTGCTACAAAGGTACGCGATGTTTCTATCTTTAATATTTATGTTTAGGGTCGCGGCTGCGCTTTTTGTCCGTCTCCCCGCCTCTGTTCAATGTGAGAGGGTTTTCTCTCGTGCCGGCCTGCTCTACGTGAATCAACAACGGAACCGTTTGGATCCGAAGCGGGCATCAAAGATGCTATTCATTTCTCATCACCTGGCCGCCGAGAGGGCTGCAAAACTTTGGTACGTTCCGGTGCTTGAAGCCAATGTCCTTTCTAGGGCGGCCGCAGCATCGGATCCCTATCCCGAACTTGCCCTACTTGATGCCGAGAATCGAATTCTGGTCCAGACGCTAACCGACCAGGTAGTATCCCCTTCTGGTATCCGAAACTTTTCCGTTCAGATGGTCAATGGTGAGCCGGCCTTGAAGGAGCTTGCGGAAGAGGATGAAGACTATCTGCTTTACAAAGAGGAAATTGCGCAAGAAGAAGCCCTAAAATCTCACCCACCGGAAGAGTTTTTTTTCGAGGATAACGAGGTAATATCTGATCATCTTCAAAACCTCCTTTCAGATATGACTGCCGACACTTGAAGAGCAATGCTCTCCACCCGACCCGGTCGCAACCCAGGAAAAAGCCCTAAATCTGCTCACTCAGAGCCCCTTTTTTGTTGGTTTTTGTTAGATTGAAAGTTTCCTAAGGCCGATATTGTTGTTCTTGTTGTGTAGAGTCTCATTCGTTGTTACGTTTCACTTCTGATAAAGCCTTTCTCGGCAAACAAACCGAACCAAGACCAAAACACAGACAAACTAACGGCACAATTATGGCCTATTCTGCCGCCCGCGTCTAACAATAAGAGCGATGGATGGTTACCACATGCCAATTAAAAATGGTTTGCGGGTTTTTTCGTCGAGTCATAAACGAATGGGAAGCGGAAATGCTGGCGCAGACTTTTTAATTCAAAACCCCCGAGGTTCCACGACTAAAAAGTCCGCGGACTTTTGCAATCCAAAAAGTCCGTGGACTTTTTAGTCCGCGGACTTTTTAGTCCGAAAAAGTCCGTGGACTTTTTAGTCCGCGGACTTTTTAGTCCGAAAAAGTCCGTGGACTTTTTAGTCCGCGGACTTTTTAGTCCGAAAAAGTCCGTGGACTTTTTAGTCCGCGGACTTTTTAGTCCGAAAAAGTCCGTGGACTTTGGACTAAAAACCAACACTAGTCCTCCGGACCCCCTCCCTTCATCCGACCACACCCGCGCGTGCAACTTGCAAGAATGAGGAAATTTGTTTTTTGGAATTATGCAAAGTAGCCCTCCCTGGCGCCGGACATATACACACACAGAGATACGCGACCAAATTATATAAGGTAGGATGTCGGTTTTCAAAGATCACCTGAAAATGAACAGCTGGATGGGCGGGGTTTGGCAGGCTACCAGCGAGTTCTATCGCTTTTTCGCATTGTCCTGTTTCATCGAATCGAACAAGAATATTCACCCAAGCACCCGGATGGGCGGGATCCTGTCTGGAATCGACAAATCAGAGTCCGGTACTTTTAAAAAATTATCATTTTAAGGTTTATTTTTTTCTGGCAGCCAATTCGCCGCAAAACACTCGAGAAATTGCGGAATTCGCCTTTGTGAAGGTGTAATTCCGTATCGTAACGTACAGACCAGCCCGGATAATTAGGTACTGTGGGCTAATTGTGTTAATTTCCGAACAAAATTTGTAATTTATGAAGCTGTGCAGCCACGAAATTCACATAAAGGCTCGATTTGGAAACTTTTTTCTCGAAAAATACTTTTTGAATTTCTAAATTTTCTTTTTTATCGCGTTAGGTAGTCTGGAAGCTAGTTTGAGTTAAATCAACACACAAATGAAGATATTCAATATTTTTGGCATTTAATTCCGTATGTAAACATACTCGATGGCCCTTTTCCAGCTGTCCATCGCCTGTTCCCCCCTTCCGGCCGCCAGATGGAGATTTCCGAGATTGAAATGGCAATCGGGGGAATGTGGGCGGAGTCTGAGGGATCTTTCAAAAGCTGTTACTGAGCTCTAAAAGACAATAGTAAAATTCAAATCGGAACACTACATTGAAATTGGCCATTTTCATCTCGGCAATCCCCAGATTCATCCAGGCTGTCGCAAAATGGGGGCGAATCCTGAAAATAAAAATATTTCTCGCTAAACTGGCTTCCGATTAACCATTTTGAACGCTATTTATATTTTTTATACTTTTAATATCTTCAAATTGAGAGTAAAAAGTACTTTGTAGCCCTGCGTAACAATTCGACCGCTTCGGCATATCTCCCTTGCGCTTCGAATATGTTCGCCAAATTATTCATGGCCTGTTCGTATTCGGGATTCAGCCTGGAATAAGATATTTTATTTGCACTACAAACTCCAAACTCACTCAATCGCTTTTCCATATTTCATACTGGCTTCTATCGGATTTCCGGTTGTTGTTAGAATTTTCCCCAGATTGTTGTGGATTTTCGCGTTACCAGGGCACACTTTGAGTCCACTACTGTACAAACTGTACTCTGTACGCCAGTCCATCGAACGCTGAAACGATTTTTGCATAGAAGGGAGCGTGGCCGACTCGATTCGAGCGTTAGAAGATAAATTGCTCACCTGCCACGACAAGGCGAATAGCACCGTCACCAGCGCGTAAAGGGTATTCTTTCGGAAATTTGGGATGACCCTCGAAATCCCGATAGCCGCAAGAATACAGTATGCCAGGGATGGTAGATACAGTACCCTCTCGGCTACTGTAAATCCGACGGTTAAGAATATATGGGATGAGGGGGCAAATGTGGCGCCGCCAAGGAGAACGGATGCTGCCGTCAGACTAAGTAATTCGCATTGTTTAATTTACTTTTCATTTTCAGAAGTCAATCGAATTTTCAATGTTTTAAAACCAACCGTCGATCTGCCTTCCAACATTTCCCTATGCCAAAAATGACAGATCCAAAAACGAGCAGATTTCGAGCATTTCGACTATCGAAAAATGAGGTTATTGGCGGAATACAGCCCATCGAATAATCGAAACATTGCCACAAGGGGAGTGTCAATAGTTATGCATTGTACACCCACGCAGGCCCGTAGGAAGGGGGGGGGGGGGGCAACTGGGGCAAGTCGGAAAAATCGGCCGAAGCAATTTTTGGAAATCGCCCCAAAATCGGCCGAGGGCCGAAAAATTCATAAGGGGGGACCCTTAGGTTTTTTTTTTCGTGAAAATTTTTTTGCCGGCGGCGCTTTTTATAGTTGTTTTTCAGACTGTTTTTACTGTCATAGACCTAAGTTTTTCAAAATTTTTCGCCTGCGGCGCTGTTTTTGATAGTTTTGATACGTTGCCAAAAAAAATTTTTGGAGTTGCCCCCCCCCCCCCCCCCCCAAAAATCGGGGATCGCTACGGCCCTGCACCCACGTATTCACGATAGATAGCCACTAAAATGTCATTTTTTGAGAAATTGTTGAGGTTATCGTTTAGGCTGGCTACCAATGGAGCGAAAATCGCAGCAGAAAGAATTTAACAATGACCTATATTTGTCCAATTTTAATGTTGGCATGTCAATTGACAGCCAATAAAGCAAATCTTATCAAGAAAACCATCGAACGAGAACATTTTTGGAAATTTTTTGTTTTGTAATGCCCACTGGCAGCGAGTTTAGTGAATCGGGCTTCAGAATTTTCAAAAACATTTTGAATTTTGTGTTATAACTGAAAAACCGACCCTGGAGATCGGCTCCTCAATAAAGGCCACCGAATTATCAAGCTTTGAGAATGTAGGCTTATCAAAATTGGCGATCCATAATCTCCAATAAAATAGGGCGAAAAATAGAGAAATCGACTTGAAAATTCTTCTGTTACAAGGCTCAGGCCCGATTTTAAGGATTCCACAGGCCGCGATGAGAAGCTGAAATTGTCGTATGTTGATTTATTCCATTTTATCGCTCGGAAATAACCAAAATAAAAAGGTCACTTACCGGCAATACAATTCCCTGCTCTTTCGAAAGCATCGATAATATCGAAAATGCGATAATTTGAGAAAATTCGCAATTTTCCAGGTATTTTCGAAAGCCGACAACAAAGAAAAAGGCCATTAAAAGTTCAGCCCGACCGGTGATATTACAAATCTAAATAATTTTGATTCAAGATGATAAGACCCAAAAGTAGAAATTCCAAAAATAATTTTTGTGACTCCGGAAAAATTAAAGGATGGTATATACTGGTTTGGTAAAAATCTACCCAAAATGTCGGGCCGGCCCATTCCCAGGCCTGCCCCCGGCCGCGGCAAAAATCCTTGCTTTTTTCCAAAAAAAAAACGTCCCTGAGCATAGAAACAGAATGGGCCAAGAGCCGTGGTGTCCGGGTGGAAGCTAGAATTTGGTCAACTGATGTATTCAATAGTGGGGATCACGCGCATCTTTTGATCTTCACAAATTTTCCGCCTTAAAAATGAAATTTTGTAAAGTGACCAGAAGGCCTCCCTCCGGGGATCATTGAGTCACCGTTTTCTTGTCTTGTCCCTTTAAAATAAAGACGGGCTTCTAATTTGGATGAAAGAATTCCTACAATGAAAGAAAGAAGTAAAAAAGTAGAAATTCCGACAGAAAGCCATAACATGGTACTACGTTCGATGAATATTCTGATTTAGTGGATCGAGATATCTCTACATCTTCCATGGCAAGAAAGTATAGTATTTTGCAATATCATCAACCTTCAATTTTAGCCCGACGGAGCAATATGCTTTTACTACGATTCGGATCGGTAGGATTGCATCTGCTTTCCACTAAAATACGACATTCCAAAGATGCTTCAACATTTCCGTGGATTCACCCTCCAATATATCAATACAGGGCAGTTCTACACTCTGTCAAATAACTATAGAATCAAGCGTTTTTTGCCCGTAACTTTCTTTCTATTGATCGGTTCGACTCGAAAATATTAGTGTGGCCCTTCTTTGATAGCAGAAAACTGTGTGCAAAGTCTGGAGGAGAACCGATTTGTGGAAGGTTTGAATCCGGAAAGCTTCGTTCTGAACTTTGTCAAAAAACTATAGAATCACTTTTAAATCACCTATTTTTCTACCCGTTTATCTTTTCCGACCATTTTTTTTCCAACGAGCATACATTTCTTTACACAAGAACTATACTTTTGATTGAATAGTTTGGGCGTCCAAGCTCAGAACAGGATTTTCCAAAAACTGAATTTAACAAAGAAATCCACATTTTTCTAAAATTCTGACAATAAACAGCTATGGAAAAATATGTCACTTTGCCTGCTGAAGAGCATTCCAAGGTACACATTTGTTTATTGGAACCTACCCTCCATTTACGAACGTTCGTCCTCTACGGTCACTTTAGTGTTTGGCCGCGGCCTCAAGGTATTTTCCTGACCATTTAACAAGGACACGTGGCGTCGACGGTTCGACAAAGCATATCTTTGCCGTCAGGCTGTTTCCCGGAAAACGAAACGCACCTATGTACTCGCTGTCAACTGTGCATTCCGAGGTACAATCAACATTTAGCAAATACAATTTTGATATGGCAGAATTTTAGAAAATGTGGATTTCTTTGTTAAATTCAGGCTTTGGAAAATCCTGTTCTGAGCTTGGACGCCCAAACTATTCAATGAAAAGTATAGTTCTTGTGTAAAGAAATGTATGCTCGTTGGAAAAAAATGGTCGGAAAAGATAAACGGGTAGAAAAATCGGTGATTTAAAAATGATTCTATAGTTTTTTGACAAAGTTCAGAACGAAGCTTTCCGGATTCGTACCTTCCACAAATCGGTTCTCCTCCAGACTTTGCACACAGTTTTCTGCTATCAAAGAAGGGCCACACTAATATTTTCGAGTCGAACGACAAGAAAGAAAGTTACGGGCAAAAAACGCTTGATTCTATAGTTATTTGACAGAGTGTATTAAATGTCAACGATCTTGAGCCACATCGATTATCCAATCCGCTGCCAAAAAAAAATTCATAGACTGTTAAACTATGGAAAATATATCGAAATTTCAGTTGGGAATCATTCCACAAGATGAGACAATGAAAATAGCATGGGAGCAGACCAATGAATCGGCATATAGACGGAGAATGGAACCGATAAACGACGGGGAACAGCCGACGATATGGACGGTTGGTCAATTGAACCATAGAAGTTATTTGCCCATTACTATAAAATACAGGGTGTTCCAAAAAAGCACCCCCTATAATCGTGACCGATTTTAACGATTGAGTTATCTATCGAAAGCTCTCGAAAAGGCGAGAACACCAGGAGGGGTCATTTTCTATGTATTATGTATTTTGATGGCCATTTTAAAGACCAAAGATCATGAAAACTGCTGATTTATGCGAGATCTGCATGCTGATTGCGAAATTACCCGTTTGTAGTATGTGTTGAATCTTAGAAAATGAAGCCGGCTTGTTTTCTCGCCTTTTCGAGAGTTTTCGAATCGTGTCGGATAACCCGGACAATAAAAATCCGGATCTGAGCTTCCTCTGGACCGCTAGAGGGGGTGCTTTTTTTGGACCCACTGCACTGTATGCTTGTAGGCAAACTATCGACCCACATTCGATGATATCAATTGTTTCGATTGTCTCAAGGGCCCTATACCAGATATGTCATATTGCCATGAATTCCAAGACATGTGCTGAATAAGTGTTGTTTACACGAAAATAAAATAATTTTTGTATCTTGCTATCATAATTCAACAACTCACAGACACACAACTGTAAAAACTATAGGTACTAGATCTCCCGTTTCGGAGTGTCAGAATGCTTCAATATGCTGGGTATTGAAGAAATAACACGAGTTGTTTTTTTAAGATTTTTGACGACGAAGATTGAGGTCGTTAAAAAGTTTTGAACATTTTTGCAAAAAATAGGAAACTTTGAAGCGATAAAGTATGGAACTTTTGAAGAGTTATAGTAAAGTGAAGGGTATCAAAATGAAGCTCTCGGAGTGCGCTATCAAAACAGTCGTAAAGAATTTTGGTCGGTTTCACTAGCCGTCAATAGGAGCCTTCGGAAGATTTTTTTGGCGGAATAATTCCAGTTAAAATTTCCTTTGCATCCGAGCTCTCTGATATTTTGCAGTGAGCAATAAATAGATAACTACTAACTTTTGGCATCAAGATTTTCAAAATCCCGATCAAAATTTTTTTTTGGCATCCTGGAAAGTCGGCAGAAACTGCACGTTTTACGTTAAGAAATAAACGTGAAAGAATGGTTTAATTAAAATTAGAAGGTTTCAACAACGAAGTATAAATAGTAAAACCAATAAAATTAAAGGAACTTTTATATTAAAAACGCAAAATGGAGTGAAAGATGCCATTATGGGGGTGGATATGGATGGATTTTCTTAGATGATATTCGCCCTCTTCAAATCGATTCAATTGACCAGAAAAAGTTCCCAAATAAATAATCGGAAATACTTATCGATTGATAATTAATGAGTACCTAAAAATGTATAGTTGAATGGTCCGGGTTTGGCAAGCCATTCACCCATTACTCATTGCAAAAACGCGGACTTATGATCAAGAAAACCAAAAAAACGCCAATTTACGGTGAAAATTACGGGCACTTCATCCGCATAAAAATTTTCACCCGGAACTTTAAACGAGTGATATTTATGCTCCGGATTTTAGGGTACTATTAATGCACAAAGAGCTACGGAGCTGGCGATGGTTCGTTGGGAAGCGCGCATTCCAGAGTTTCAGATCGTGTTTTATGTTGCAGGGCCGCCAGGGTTTTTCAATATCTTATTGAAGCGGAAATATTGCATTGCCTATTGTTGATATTGCCACGACGGTACCACCATTTCCACATCGGGAAAATCTCGATAATACGTAACGAAAGGTGTCTGTGAATACGTGAAGGTATCCGGGTTATGATTATGGGGGTAAAATCCAGATTCAATTTATTCAAAAGCAACACTTTTGGCATACTCCCCTTGAAATTGCAGATATTAGTTTTTGACAATGGGGGTGCTGCTGATGTTTTGAGTGAGAATTGCATCAATGAATTCTAGCGTTTTCACCGAAAGTCGATTTCTTCCTGCCCTTATCTATCCGGGCAGCTCATTTTTGTAAGGCCAGCTGCGACTTCATGCGTGAAGACGGGTCGGCCCCACGGATAAGTTCAGTTGGCGCATCGAGCTGAAAAAGCTGATAACGAATTTGAGTGAGGAAGTGACATTGATTCGAACCAATCTTCTTCCCAACTAACACGCCGAAATATGAGTTCAGCTAATAAGGAAAGTCGACGCCTTGGTTCAGGCGCTTTTGGAAGTGTATACCTTGAGACCAGGGAAGAACGGTATGTTCTATCTAATATATGAAAAGGTTTTTGTTTGCTTGTTTTTATTATTCTTAAGAGACTCGAGTCTCGTCAAATAAAACATTTGGCGGTGCCTCATCAATATTTTCTGCAGACATGTGGCCATCAAACGTATTCGATCACCCCCACATCCAACCCATCTACGACGAGAGGTAGCGACCCTCCAAAAGTTGTCTCACCCAAATATTATCGAATATATCGATTACTACGAAAGTGACGACGGACAAATTGCAAATATTGTCACTGAATATTGCGAACGGGGGGATCTGAAAACATGTAAGGACGGGTGGCTCTCTGTCCCCCTCTCTCTCTCTTTATCTCTCTTTCCTGATCTCTCTCTCTCTTTCTCTCTCTCTTTATCTCTATCTCTCTCTCTCTCTCTATCTCTCCCTCTCTATTTCGCTCTCTCAGGCTCTTGCGTATCTATCGTACTTCAATCCTATAAGCCCGAAAGTTCTAGTCATCGGCGATGTGAAACAACGTTATTCGATAGCCCTTGTGATCGATTGGGCATGCCAATTATTTGATACTTTGGTCTATCTGGAAGGAAAAAAGATTTATCATCGGGATATAAAGGCTACAAAGTACCTTTAACAAATACGTCATTACAAATTTAGTATGCTACTCGGCGAGAACTGCCAAATAAAGCTTTGTGACTTTGGACTGTCAAAGTCGGAGAATACGGATAATTCCTGGTGGGCATTTTTCACATTTCTTTTAAAAGAAGGTTCAGTTACGGAGTGTTTGGTACGATGCGATATATTCCTCCGGAAGCATTTGGGGCAGTTAACGATCAACAGACAGTATTTTATACTTGGTCGGCTTAGCAACGTTTTAGTTTACTTATGCTAGTGATCTGTATTCTGCCGGGCTTGTACTTTGGGAATGTATCGAAAGACGGTAAGGATTCAGGGGTGTTAAATTCAACGTGCTTCCATATTTGTTGCGTTCTTGATTGTTTGGTAAAAACTGTAGAAATACCACAAAGTTTTTAGTTGTTTAGCCTTTAATTTTTAGCTTGGCTTAGCCTAGCTTCTTTGTCCGTTTGCTGTAAGTTTCATAACTCGCTTTTTCAGAGCTAAGTTTTCAAAATAGATTCTGGTGATTACTGCTTCTTTAAAAAACTGCCCCTAGAAACTAACCGCTATGCAAACAAAACGTATTCTCCATACTATGGTATTTAGGACAGTATTTCATGACATCAACAATGCCGCTGTCCTCATCTCCCGAATTTGTTACGGTCCACCACTAGAAAGAGCAAATTGTCGGGATTCTGTCGCTGATCTCATAGAAAAGTTTGTTAATTGACTTCGGCTCGGGAGACACTCTTAGATGTGTTCGACAACTGCCAGAAGGAAGGCCAACTGCCGCAAAAGCATTAGAAGAAGCCAATGGTCTAAAAAAGGTTGATACTATGAAATGCCGCACTGTCAAATTTTAGGAGTCATTTTATGAAGTGTTTTGCGCGAAATTGTACGACTTGGAGATAGACTCGGAAAATACTTCACCATGGCCTGTAGTTGGTCGAGCGGATGGCGAAGAAATGATAATCCAAGAGAGAGTGGGCCCTACTTTAGGCGAAAAGTTCTCTATCGTTTATACATTTTTTCCGAAGGGTTTGCCCCTGAATAGCTTTTGTGGTTGTAAGGATATTTATTTTGTGTTTTCAGCAACTGGTTTGCGACGCCGAAATAAGCACCCTCTCAGCAGGAATCGAGCATTATACAGGTTCCAATCAACCTGTTCAACCGTATTTTTTCTCAGAGATTGTAAACGTAAAGAAGTTGGGCGCGAGATTTTTGCCAGTGGATTCGATTGAGTTGGCAAAACGTTCGTCAGGAATTCCCATTCAACAAGGTTCGATTTCGAGTGGCGCCAGTCTCGGAGGTTGGTGGTCGAGACTATTGGTTGTTTTGGTTGGTTTGTGCCGGTTCGAACCAGCGATTTTGGCAGTGACCTTTTCAGCGATTGGAAAAGTTAAGAAGTTTGTGACGCGATTCGTGCCAAGGGATTCCATCGAGTTAGCAAGACGTTCTGGAAGTTCGTTTTAGTCTGTGTTCAATGTTGTTCCGTAGTTCCGGCATTCAAGACTGCGGCCACAGGGAATGTCACTGCCACGGCTGAAATTGATGTTCAAGCTGGTCAGTTTGACAAGTTGACCCGAAAATGTTTATTCAGGGTCAAACATAAAGACGGTTGTTGCGACGACAGGTGCTGCTTGTGGTAATTTATAGAAATTTACTTGGCATTTAGCCACGAAAACGAAGACTGTGGTGACAAACGACAGAAATGAAGACTTTGCGGTACGGTGCTTTTCCGACTAATCTCTTATCTCTTTCGCGTTGGCCTAACTTACCCGCGATTTTGGTCTGAATATTGTATTACATACAGGGCGTCCGAAACCCCCCCCCCCCCTACCCCCCACGGCATTTGGTCGTCTCTATTCGACTGGGCAAAATTTTTACCAGTGATGGGGACTCACATAAGAACCATGTGCAACCGGATTTCCCACGCAAAATAGTGTAAAACCTGTCGGGAGCAGGAATTCAGGGAACGGGACGGTTTCTATGCGACAGCCTAGAAATTAGTCAAATCGAAAATCAGCCGTAATTTAGCGTGCGATTTAGCTGGAAGAGTCTGATAAACTGCTGGAAATTGTCGACAAAATGATGGACGGAAAAGATGTGGAAGACATGAAGGAAAAATGGGTGAAGAAAGCAATCGAGAGGAAGATGATTGTGAGCAGAGATTTTCATATCTGTAGTTTGATCATTTCAGCCAGCTGAATTTACATCGGAAGAAGGATTTTGGCTTGAAATCGAGTAAGTTGCTGATTAATATTGGAAGGACCCAAGTTTTAGTATTATGGATGGAGGATGTAGGACTTCTCATCAATTTACGAAGGGACTGACAGATCTTCAAGAAGTGTATTGTTCTTTCATTCAAGGAATAGGTGAATCTATATGTATTCATATAACAACACGAGGAATTTAGCGGGAAGTAGGAAAAATTCCGAATTTCTGATGCTCTGGTTCCAGCCATCCAAGCCTTCAGATATCAGCCAGATGATGACTATCTTTCATTCTCCACCATTTCGTGTAAGCTTTTCGTTTTTTAAAAGAGTCAACGTTCATTATTAATTGTCTGGTTAAAGTGAATTTTGTAAATCACACAGTTTCTGAAAGCAATTTAGGGGATCGTGTCGAGAAGCCGATGCTTGCTTTCACTTGTCAGCAGAAATGAGTATCCATCTGAGGGAAATTGTCTTCTTTTTTCTTAAACACCCGTTTTGTAGGTGGCTTTTTATGAATGGGCTGGTGTATGGAGCTCTCTAGGATTTACTGGTAAGTGCCTTTTTTGATATTCCGGTACTTCGATACGGTATTTTTCTCGCTACTCGATGCTTATTGTATCATTTTGTAGGGTTCACGGTTAACACCTAACCCATTTCCCTGCGTAATTTCTTTTCCATTACCGCCGATTTTATCAATGTGTAAAGCGTCTTTTTAGAAGCCACCAAGGTTGTCATTAGGGCACTAATGTCGTAAGCTTTCATGCCAAAATGCATTTATTGAGTTCCAGAGTTGCCACGATTACTTTGCGTGTTCAGTTAAACGCACTTTTAAAAGTTTGATTGAACGGGGGAAGGGCTGGAAAGGTACGCAGGGGAGTATGCTTGTTTCAACAAAATTGAGGTTGCCTCAGTTCTTTAAGTAAACACATTGATCAACAGGTGACCGGTCGAAGGACGGGATCAACTTCTCATCATATGTCATTCGAAGTTTACAGGTAAATAAATGCCATAGACGGCCAGCATTCTAAATTTCCTTTAGAAACTTTTGAATGGAGGGTCATCAGGGGGTTCGGGAGATATCATTCACCGTGGCCCCTGGGTATTCAGAATTTATCAAGCTATAGTAACTTTATTCTGTTCAGTATTTCCCATTTATCGGTGAGAAACAGATGGCTTTTGAGGCAAAGTGGAATCTGCTAATTGTTTTGATTACACCGGAAGATAGGAGGTAAGGAATAAGATGTCATAAGCTTAAAAATAACCAAGCCACAACCGCCCATGAGTTCGATCCAGATGGTTCAAGGGAAAGGGCGTACTGTACGTGTTTTTCGCGCGTTGCGTGCGGGTGCGCGGAATAGCAACCGGTTTTTAGCTGCGCAGGCCTGCTTTCGCAATTGCGCGACGCGTCTAACGCACGCGTTGCGGTCTTCCCTCCTTTCCGAAGCTACCGGACCTTTTATTAGGAGCCGGGCCGCTGTGAAGCAATTACTTACACCATGCGTTATGAAGTTGTAATAGGTATTTGGTATTGGGGTAGAGAAAATGAGTTTTGAAAGTATGGATTGGGCGATAATGCCAGCAGATCGGCAGCTATCTGCTTAGAAAAACAATAACAACTTTTTACTTGGCTATTGAAATGAATATTCCGATTTAGTGAATCGAAATATCTGTGGATCTTCCAGCGCAACAAGGTACTGTATCTTCTGTCGATATAATTATGCAACAATTCAGCCTGACGTAGTTCTCAGCATTTCCTATACGTCACGTCGGTAGGGCCGTCTCTGCTCCACTATAATTGAAAATTGCACAGATCTTTCAAGATTTCCACTGCGACTTCCCACTATTTCGAGAAATACGAGCAAATGCAGGTCAGTCCCCTTTCAACCATTTTTTTGAACATGCGGGACAACAGCCAATCGATATAAAAAGTATTGAGAGACTGTGAAAATATTGGAGATCAATCGAAATTTCAGTTGGGAATTATTCCAAAAGATAATACAACGAAAATAGCATCGGTGAAGAAGAATGAATGGACATATCAACGGATTGTGGAACCGGAAAGAAAGGGGGAAACGCCGACCATATGGACGGTTCGTCAATTGGATGCGACGAATTATTTGCCGAATGGGGGCAATTAGTAAAGTTCGAGCGTTCGAGCAAATTGGTAAATTTCGAGCGTTCGAGCGTTCGAGCGTTCGAGCAAATTGGTAAAATTCGAGCGTTCGAGCGTTCGAGCAAATTGGTAAAGTTCGAGCGTTCGAGCGTTCGAGCGTTCGAGCAAATTGTTAAAGTTCGAGCGTTCGAGCGTTCGAGCGTTCGAGCAAATTGGTAAAATTCGAGCGTTCGAGCGTTCGAGCAAATTGGTAAAGTTCGAGCGTTCGAGCGTTCGAGCGTTCGAGCAAATTGGTAAAGTTCGAGCAGTCATTTAAATTAGGTCTTTTTAAGGGTATGTTGACGTAATATTGATGCATACTTGATAGTTTAACGCTCTATAACTAATCCTACGGCCAAAGTAATGTAACCAACGCAGTTTAGTCGCAATTTTTTATATTAAAACAGACGTTTTAGCACTAGATACTTGTTTCACGCGGTATAAGGGCTATCTCGCCACGTTCGCATAGTATTATGCTAACTCACCACGTCACACGCGATGTATTTACGTCATGTGCTTGGCAGTTTAACCCTTACAACGTATCTTATAGTTAAAGTAAAGCCTAGCGCGGGCAATTAGTAAAGTTCTAGTTGTATGGTGGAGTTTTTTTTTAAAAAACCGCTTGGAAAAACCCTTGCCTATCCGCCCTACGCCTCCCTTACAACTAAAGTAAAGCCTAGCGCAAAGTATAACAGGAGTCAACACATTTTAGCGGCCGTTATTCACAATCAAACCAAGGATTTTACATTGCAAAACTTCATTAACGATTCGGAGGACGTTTCATCAGGAGGGAACCAACTTTTTTTGGTATTACAAAGTAATAATATACGAGTTAGTAATATACTAGCTAATTAACAAAGGAAAACCGTGCTTTGTCTGCGTCCCCATTCAGTTCTTCAATGTTATTGTTCGGACAGTTACTTGCTACTTGACTACTTGTAGCTGTCAATACTCCCTAACCCGTTAAACTGTCCAGTAATACGTGAATACATCCCCGGACATGCTTGGCTAGCAGACAACACTGAAAGCTGGCGAGATTGCCCTTATAGAGTACCTTAACAAAATAACTCCAGCTAAAACTTTGTTTGGTTACACATACATGTCTAAGGAGGATCTGTCTAAGGAGTAGGGCGGATAGGCAAGGGTTTTTCCAAGCGGTTTTTTGGAAAAAACCCCACCATACCACTAGAACTTTACTAATTGCCAGCGCTAGGCTTTACTTTAACTATAAGATACGTTGTAAGGGTTAAACTGCCAAGCACATGACGTAAATACATCGCGTGTGACGTGGTGAGTTAGCACTATAATACTATGCGAACGTGGCGAGATAGCCCTTATACCGCGTGAAACAAGTATCTAGTGCTAAAACGTCTGTTTTAATATAAAAAATTGCGACTAAACTGCGTTGGTTACATTACTTTGGCCGTAGGATTAGTTATAGAGCGTTAAACTATCAAGTATGCATCAATATTACGTCAACATACCCTTAAAAAGACCTAATTTAAATGACTGCTCGAACTTTACAAATTTGCTCGAACTTTACCAATTTGCTCGAACGCTCGAACGCTCGAACTTTACCAATTTGCTCGAACGCTCGAACGCTCGAATTTTACCAATTTGCTCGAACGCTCGAACGCTCGAACGCTCGAATTTTACCAATTTGCTCGAACGCTCGAACGCTCGAACGCTCGAACTTTTACCAATTTGCTCGAACGCTCGAACGCTCCGAATTTTACCAATTTGCTCGAACGCTCGAACGCTCGAACGCTCGAACTTTACCAATTTGCTCGAACGCTCGAACGCTCGAATTTTACCAATTTGCTCGAACGCTCGAACGCTCGAACGCTCGAACTTTACCAATTTGCTGAACGCTCGAACGCTCGAACGCTCGAACTTTACCAATTTGCTCGAACGCTCGAACGCTCGAATTTTACCAATTTGCTCGAACGCTCGAACGCTCGAACGCTCGAATTTTACCAATTTGCTCGAACGCTCGAACGCTCGAACGCTCGAATTTTACCAATTTGCTCGAACGCTCGAACGCTCGAACGCTCGAACTTTACCAATTTGCTCGAACGCTCGAACGCTCGAATTTTACCAATTTGCTCGAACGCTCGAACGCTCGAACGCTCGAACTTTACCAATTTGCTCGAACGCTCGAACGCTCGAATTTTACCAATTTGCTCGAACGCTCGAACGCTCGAACGCTCGAATTTTACCAATTTGCTCGAACGCTCGAACGCTCGAACGCTCGAACTTTACCAATTTGCTCGAATTTTACCAATTTGCTCGAACGCTCGAACGCTCGAACGCTCGAACTTTACTAATTGCCGCCGAATGGCAAAACATCTCTTATTTTACAGGCAAACTATCGACCCTCATTCGATGATATCAATTGTTTCGACTGTCTCAAGGGTCCTCTACCAGATATGTCTTATTGCCATGAATTTAGTGAAATTTGCTGATAAAGGTCTTTTTCCCGATATAATCAGTTTGCGGTCTCATTAATTTGCGTATTTTCGTTCATTCCTACGGTAACTTTATGGCGCTTCTGAAAGGTGCCAGAGTCTAAATTTTGAGAAGAGAAAACATCATAATAATGAAAAAATCTGGGGCTTTATACTTGTCTTTTTTATCCTAGATGACATTTGATACAATAAATATATGGAAACAAGAAACGACCGCATGGACCCACAAAATGTTTAGAAGGCAATTCCCGAAGCTGAATTGTATGAACTTTCGGCCCAATCTAATAATTCTAATTCAGATTTCCCTTTTTTTTCTGGCAGCGAATGAAAAAGAGAAAAAGGCGAAATTCTGTATTGAACTGACTAGCTCGGAAAATTAGGGTTATCGTCTAGCCAAACTTTGGAATTGATGGCTGGAAATGCCCGTCGCTGTACAGATAATCCATCGAACCCCTTTATGAATCGCATAGAAACATAGATGACAATCAATGCCAGAGATTATACAATTTTCGGAACATGTTATTTCAGACAAGTGGTTGAACGCTCGTTGTAAGATTGATTTTTGAGTTGGTTGACTCTCGAAAAAAAGAAAAGTACCGAATAACAACCATCTATTCTCACTCATTTTTCTGCCATTCCATCCAGATTTTGGACAAGCTGTATTCAAGATATCGATTATTCCCTGGCGAGATGGCACAAATTTTTGCTGCAAGAGAATGGGCGGGCGAAATTTCTGATAAGCGGGGAAAACCGACTTCTGCTTGTGGAAGCCATTCTCAATTTGCTAGTCTTCTCGACAATTTCCAGCTAAAAACACGCGAGCAATGTATTCAGTTGAAGATTGGGTATGTTTCATTATCTTTAGTATAGTCGATGAATATTGTGTCTTGCATAAAATGTTGAGCACGGCGATACAATGAATTACAAAATTTTTTATTGGCCGAGCATCACGGCGGAAAAGAAGGGAGAGGAAACTAGAGTTCGAAATAGTGGACAAGTTGTAAAAGAATAAATTGCCTTGGGAGAGGGCGCGTCGCAGCAGCATCCAGTTAGACGGACACTGGGTAGAGCGGAAAGGGCGCCGGCTACCCAAAAGGCAGCACCGCCACCATGAAGATTCTTTGAGCTATTCAATATTGTTCTGTAATCCGTTTAGATATCGTGGTGTACAGAGAAATACCGTTGCACACGATGTCATAATAATGAGCATTTGGTGGATGATATGCTGATGAAAAGACGAGAGTTCGAAAATGACACCGGCAGCCCTTTGGTGGAAGTGGATTTGGAAGTGTTTCGTGAAAATGTAAGCTTTACACGAACTACCTGTGTAAATTGTTAGGTACCTCGTCTGATCCACTGCATTAAATGCTATCAGAAATATCACTATTTCAACAATGAACCCGAAAATACGTGGATTCCGCTGGAAGAGGCTTTTGTGAGAGAATCTGTAGACCTCACAAGCTCCAATTTCCATAATAGGTGCTCGTTCATTCAAATGCAATTCAACGATCTGTCGATACAATCATCACACCACTTGCTACACTCTTTCTGACGCTTTTATGCCAAAAATCGACGCTGCGTCAGTGGTTTGTATTATCGTAATGTCATGCTTTCTACAGGGTGTCCCAAATTCTCCTAGCCTGCCGCAGACTTGTCCAATTTTACGATCTAGGTATCTATGGAAAGCTTTTGGAAACCCGGGTCCAGCACGGCTCTTGGATTCCAAAATTTTGCAATTTTTCTAATCCTACTATACATAAAAAAGTAGTGTCTGTGTGTGTGTGTCTGTGGACACTTTGCATAAATGACTCGAAAAAACCGGGTTACCAAGATATCACGAAGGGGGGAGGGTTTTCGCGCCCAGTCGAAAGGTTTTTAGGGGTATTCGAGGGCGTAGATTACTGCACGCTTATAAGATTTTTAAGAAAATAACTATTTATACCTTATTCTATTGTTTTTAAAACATATGGAAATGCCCTAATTTGCATACGAGGCGCTGTGAGCCTTATTTTGGATTTTGTCACTCTCTCAGGCGGTCGCTTTTGTGATTATTAAGGTTGGGAGGTTGGCACATAATTCGCTAGAATTATGCAAAGTGCCCAACGTCTTAAGATCCCCGCGCAAAGGCCAGGGCAACACTGGTCTTTACTGATATATTTGCAAAACGGGCGGATTTTCCGAGATTTTAAAGCGCACGTTCAGGGAGGGGCCGTGTACTCGTCCCAACCTGTACACCCTATGGACGTAAGGATCGCACGCACGGCCTGCCCGTGCTGTGACAGCCCAGTCCCCTCCTTTGCGGCGTGGGGCGCCCCCTCGCCCCCTCGCCAGGTTGCACCTGTGGCTGCCTGGTATTCGACCGCGTCTCCCGACCGGGAGGCCCGGGTTCGACCCCCCGGCCGCGGCAAAAACCTTTGCTTTTTCCAAAAAACGCCCCTGAACGTGCCCTTTAATGGCCAAGGAGTTTTATTATCCTCGATTACGAACCATTTCAGAAAATGGAGAATCTGTTGGCCTTAATAAGAGAATCAAGAAATGGTGCAGAATATGTGAAAGCTGTCAATCAACATCACCCCTTTTGTCTCAATTATCTCAATTATCTTGGTGATGTTCAACGGCAAATCGACCGAGTAAATGCGGGATTTCAGGTATGCTGATACCAGGGTTGGTCACGCTGGATCCTAATCGGATCCGGTCCGGTCCGGGGGTCGGTCCGGTCCGGTCCGGTCCGAAATTTCCATCCGGACCGGACCGGACCGGACCGGACCTGTCCGGTCCGTGGCGGACCGCGGGGCTTTGATTTGCTAGGAGAAACGGAAATGCAACATGCAAATTCGGAATGCAAAAGAGTGGCGTACAAAAAATGACGCAATGTGGAATTCGCTTAATCAAAATGTATAAAATTATTCCTTCCCCATTAATTTTTTGCTATATATGCAACGGATAATAGCCTAGATGTGGAAAAATATGTCAAATCCTTCGAGAGTAGTATTTTGCATACCAAATTTTCCACATCTGGCTCCTGAATCATGTCCTTTTGTGTTCAGACCGGACCGGACCGGTCCGGACCGGTCCGGTCCGGTCCGGTCGGAAATTCTCGGATCCACTCGGACCGATCCGGACCGGACCGGACCGCGGACCGTCCGCGGACCGGATCCTTTGTGACCAACCCTGGCTGAGACGAAGAATTATATTTCGTGCTTTTAGCAATTAATTGACAACGGAGAAGTAGGTATCTCATCAGAAATTGCTGTGCAAGCAGGTTCTCCACTTCCAATCGTCTTTTCATTGCATTCTAGAACCCGAAATGAGCAGCATCGACACGAAGATCGAGCTTGATTGTTATGAGGTGCTTCAAAATCGGTTTCTCAATTATTTATTGGCAAGCTTTCCGCTTTTGCCAATTGGCGGGCTATTTAGAAATTGTACCATTTAGCTAAGTAAACACTTTGAGTTGTGGGTTTAGGAGGGTCGCTCCTTAGTAACTTTTATCTAGATGATATAAAAGGCGGTGAGGTGGTTTCCCTTATTTCGCACTCTCGTCGCTCTCTGGACTCTCTCCTGGTTCCGTCCAGTCTCAGTCCGGGCGCTCTCCTGGCGCTCCCCCCTTTGGATCTCGGGGGCGGATTTTATAAGTGTTGAGTGGCGTGGTCTGGAAAATGTGTGTTAAGTGGTTGAAATTCTTACACGCTTTACATAAGTCCAAGTCATAATTACATCAATATTACATGTTTACAGCTACTAGCTTCTGATAAACTCGTGGAAATGATCGGCAAAATGAGAAATGGCATAGATGTGACTGTGGATGAAAGAGAGAAATGGGTGAAGAAGGCGATCGAAAGGAAGATGATTGTGAGAAGGGTTTTGAAATGTGTAGTTTCGGCTTTCAGCCGGCTGCATTCAAATCAAAATATGGATTTGACCTTACCATTAGGTACGTGGTGATTCATATTAAAAGGGCACAACTTTTAGAGTTCCAGGCGAAGGGTTGAAGACTGAGCATCGATTTGTGAAGGGAAAAACGGACCTTCAGAAAGTGTATTGTTCTTTCATTCAGGAATTAGGTATTATATCTTCGCATAATAAAACAAACAATATTAGGGAATATTCTGGAGGAAGATCAAAAAATCGATTTTGCCTTTAGTTCGGCCAAATCTTGTGATATCAGCCGGATGATGAATATCCTTGTTTCCCCAATATTCCGGGTAAGAGTTTCCCTTTTCGGGGGAATTTATCGTACATATTTTCACGTTATTTTTCAACATATACATTTTCAAAAAATTCAGGGAGTATTGTCGAGGACCCGATGCTGGTTTTCACTTTCCTCGAATAAAGAATATCCATCCGAGGTATGCCTCCTTCTTTCTCGTTTTTATATCAATCGTCTTTCAGCGGGCTATTTCTGAATGGGCCGGCGTATGGAAAGAATTAAACTGTTTTGGTAGGTTTCTCTTTCCGATAGAAAGAAATTTCTTGCGGTTATTTCTTTGGGATGTATTCAAGAACAGCCTTGATATCTTGATGTTAATGTAGTATATTATTTGTCATTCGTACTGCCTTGAGTCGTTTTTGAAGCGAAAATTTTATAATACGTTCTGTAATATGATCAACAGGTGATCGGTCGAGAAATGACGGGATCAACTTCTCATCATTTGTCATTCGAAATATACAGGTAAATAAACAGAATAGACAACCAGTTAAAAATTCTTTTTAGAAACTTTTGGATGGAGGGACATCAGGGGGTAAGGGATTTGACATCCGCGATGGCCCCTGGGTATTCTGAATTCGTCAAATTATACTGCATTATTACATTCAGCATTTACCATTTATCGGTGAGAAACAGATGGCTTTGGAGGAGAAATATAATGTTCGAATTGTGCTGATTGCATTCAAAGGGCACCAGAGGTAAGCATCAAGAGATATTCTCGAAAATATCCAAAGCAGATACTTTCCTTGTATTTTCACAATAGACGCGTAGCTTCTTTTTATTAGCCTGTTCGGGAAATTTGGAAGACATAATTTTGCATTGGACTCTCATCTCTGGTCTCTGATTCCATGTGTCGACATGGAATTTTGACAGAGATCTCGAATTTTACAAGTTGGGGATTTCGAGTTGGCCGGTAGATCGGCATCTATTAGTACGCGATAAACAATAACTTTTGCATACTTTTTATAGATATTCTAATTTAGTACAGGCCAAGTATACCGATCTCTCTGTATCTTCGATTGCAACAAGGTAATGACTAATTTCATCGTCATTATTAAGCCCCAATTTCAGCCCGACACACTTCGCTGTTTGCGTTATGATTCGGCTCGGTAGGACATCATCTGTCTTCTACTATACTAGGGAATTGCACAGATACTTCAACATTTACATGGGTTCTCCCTCCAATATGGAGAAATACGAGCAAATGCAGGTTAGTCAGTCCAAATAAATGTTGGGTCATGTTGGAAGATGCCGAGTAATTGCCAATAAAATATTAAAAGTATTCAGAGGCGGTAAGAAAAAAGAAATTTCAGCTGGGAATCATGGCAAAAGACGAGACAATGAAAGTGACATCGGAGAAGATCAATGAATGGACATACAAACGGACAATGGAACCGGAAGAAGAGGGGGAAGAGCCATGGATCTGGACGGTAGGTGAATGGAAGCGAAAATTGGAATACCAGATACCGAATGCCGCATTTGATTTACAGGCAAACTATCGACCGACATTTGATGATATCAATTGTTTCCATTGTCTCAAGGGTCCATTACCAGATATGTCTTATTGTAGCGAATTCCATGAAATGTGTTAGGAGCAATTGATTTTATTTCTTTGTGGCAGATCGAAACCATTTTCATGCAATTCTCAACTTTGCCCGTAAAAAAATTTGAATTTCAACCTTGCTAAATTTCCAATTTTTTTGATTTTTTAAAACAGTTTTGTAGTTCGGCTTGTATAGCAGCAATTAAAAATGGATAAATCTTTATACCCGCATCAAAACATACCCATCAAATAAACAAAATTAATAACCAAAAGATAGAAGACAATCACAATCGACCGGTAATATTTGTGCCCAATCTTTGGAGGTGTGTGTTGGAGCGTGGCGTGTTCAGTTGGGAGGAATTTTCGGCGGAAAAGAGACGTCGGCGTTCGTAAAGCACTTCTGAAAAAATCGCAATTGTAAAGCAAAAAAAAATCGAGATTTTCCAAGTTAAAAATAGCAAAATTAATCAAACTTTAAAAAACGTACGCAAATTGGAGTGATAGATGCGATTATGGGGGTCGATCTGGATGGCTTTTCTCAGATGATATTCTCCCTCTTCAAATCGATTCAATTGGCCATAGCAAGTTCCCAACTGAAAATAATCCTACCTTATATAATTTTGGAGTGTATCTCTGTGTGTGTGTCCGGCGCATTTTTGGGGCCCCGGAAGACTAATTTGCATAATGCGAAAAATACAATTTCCTCATTCTTGAAAGCCACACGCGCGAGTGTGGTCGGTGGGGGGTCCGAAGGACCCGAGCCAACGGAAAGTCAAATTTCTCATGCAAAGGCCGCATTCCAGCGCCCAAGGCCCGCGAAGCGGGTTTTGGGCGCTGGTCATAAATAATTATCGCTTGGTTTTATTTAACAATGTCCGTTTTCAAAGATCACCTGAAAATGAATAGCTGAATGGGCGGGGTTTGGCAGGTTGCCAGCGATTTCTATCGCCCTTTCGCATTGTCCTGTTTCATCCAATCGAACAAGTATATTCACCCAAGCACCCGAATGGGCGGGATCCTGTCTGGAATCGACAAATCAGAGTCCGGTACTTTTAAAAAATTATCATTTTAAGGTTTATTTTTTCTGGCAGCCAATTCGCTGCAAGACACTCGAGAAATTGCGGAATTCGCTTTTGTGAAGGTGGAATTCCGTCTTGTAACGTACCGACCAGCCCGGCCAATTAGGTACTGTGAGCTAATTGTGTCAATTTCCGAACAAAATTTGTAATTTATGAAGCTTTGCAGCCACGAAATTCCCATAAAGGCTCGATTTGGAAACTTTTTTCTCGAAAAATACTTTTTGAATTTCTAAATTTTCTTTTTTTATCGCGTTAGGTAGTCTGGAAGCTAGTTTGTGTTAAATCAACCCACAAATGAAGATATTCAATATTTTTGGCATTTAATTCCGTAAGCAAACATACTCGATAGCCCTTTTCCAGCTGTCCATCGCCTTTTCCCCCCTTCCAGTAGCCAGATGGAGATTTCCGAGATTGAAATGGCAATCGGGGGAATGTGGGCGGAGTCTAAGGGATGTTTCAAAAGCCGTTAAAGAGCTCTAAAGGGCAATAGTAAAATTCAAATCGGAAAACTACATTGAAATTGGCCATTTTCATCTCGGCAATCCCCAGATTCATCCAAGCAGTCGCGAAATGAGGGCGAATCCTGCAAATTAATTTAAATGTTGCGAATTTTCGGTAATCACTGGGGGGAATCGTTAATCTGACTTGCAATTTGACTATTTTTAACATTTAAATCGTATTTTTAAGGCTCAATTTGAATCCCGTGGACTTCAACGTAAAAGCGTACATTGTAGCCCTGCGTAATAATTCGACCGCTTCCGCATATCTCCCTTGCGCTTCGAAGATGTTTGCCAAATTATTCATGGCCTGTTCATATTCGGGATTCAGCCTGGAATACGGTATTTTATTTGTCACTACAAACTCGAAACTCACTCAATCGCTTTTCCATATTTCATACTGGCTTCTATAGGATTTCCATGGGTCGTTAGAATTTTCCCGAGATTGTAGTGGATTTTCGCATTTTCAGGGCACACTTTGAGTCCACTACTGTACAAACTGTACTCTGTACGCCAGTCCATCGAACGCTGAAACGATTTTTGTATAGAAGGGAGCGTGGCCGGCTCGATTCGAGCGTTAGAAGATAAATTGCTCACCTGCCACGACAATGCCAATAGCACCGTCACCACCGCGTAAAGGGTATTCTTTCGGAAATCTGGGATGACCCTCGAAATCCCGATAGCCGCAAGAATACAGTATGCCAGGGATGGTAGATACAGTACTCTCTCAGCTACTGTAAATCCGACGGTTAAGAATAGATGGGATGAGGGGGCAAATGTGGCGCCGCCAAGGAGGACGGATACGGTAGTCATTCTACAAAATACGCTATTAAAAAACGGTGCAAAATTGTTACCGCCGATCTGCCTTCCAACATTTCCCTATGCCAAAAATGACAGATCCAAAAACGAGCAGATTTCGAGCGTTTCGGATATCGAAAAATGAGGTTATTGGCGGAATACAGCCCATGGAATAATCGAAACATTGCCACAATGGGAGTGTCAATAGTTGTACATTGTACACCCACGTATTCACGATAGACAGCCACTAAAATAGTTCCATTTTGAGTGATATGTTGAGTTGATGAATTAACCTGGCTTCCAGTGAAGCAAATCGTGGCCCAAAAATTTGACAATAACTTTTCTTGTCTGGCTTTAATTTTGACATGCGTATTGGCAGCCAATAAAGCAAATCGTGGCAAAGAAACAACCGGGGGGAAGCCATTTTTAGAAAATTTTTCTTTTGTAATGTCAACTGGCAGCCAGTTTAGCGAATCGGGCTTCAGAATTTTCAAAAAATAATTTTGAATTTTGCGTTATAACTGAAAAACCTACCCTGGAGATCGGCTCCTCAATAAAGGCCACCGAATTATCAAGCTTTGAGAATGTGGGCTTATCAAAATTGGCGATCCATAATCTCCAATAAACTAGGGCGAAAAATAGAGAAATCGACTTGAAAATTCTTCTGTTACAAGGCTCAGGCCCGATTTTAAGGATTCCACAGGCCGCGATGAGAAGCTGAAATTGTCGTATGTTGATTTATTCCATTTTTTAGCTCGGAAATAACCAAAATAAAAAGGTCACTTACCGGCAATACAATTCCCTGCTCTTTCGAAAGCATCGATAATATCGAAAATGTGACAATTTGAGAAAATTCGCAATTTTCCATGTATTTTCGAAAGCCGACAACAAAGAAAAGGGCCATCAAAAGCTCTGCTCGCCCCGTGATATTACAAATCTAAAAAATTTTGATTCCAGATGATAAGACCCAAAAGTGGAAATTCCAAAAATAATTTTAAAACTTACAGCTTCTGTATGAACTGGATAAACGGCGAATAACAAAGAAACCGCATAGATGAGGAAATTATTTTCCGAAATTCTAAAGTATTTTTATAAGCTCTTTTATCGATGTTTATACCTTTTTAAAAGTCGAAAAATTTCTTTAGTAACGAGGGAATGGAGAAGAAGATTGACGAGATGATATCCGAAGGTCCATTCACCGTGGAGTTGATGGTTTAGCCTGAAAAAAGCAGAAATTTAAGGTTTAATTAATTCTGTTAAATTTTAACGTTGTATATTGTAGTTCGCCATTATTTTTAAGGTTATCTGAACTCCATTTAACACTATTTTATGCACAATTCTCCTAGAAATTGTTAAGTATTTTAATTTTGGGGGTTTAGATCGATTTTTTCGCGGATTCCCGGTTTCCTGACCAATTTTTGGAAGTTTGTTGTGTCTCAAAATCAATTTTTTTCTGAGCTTGTCGTTTTCATATCGATCTCAACTTTATGTCCCCAGGCTACCGTATTTTTTCGTGGCATTTCTAGCACCATTTCTTCGATGTCCACCTCGACCCCCCGGCGGCATGAAGCTAAACCCCCTCCCGTAGATGTCGTGGCGACCAGCAATTATCTCTTTCTATGGTCCATCCCTCTTTCTGTATGTCAGTTTGTCTATCTGTCTGTCTCTCTAGTCTCTCGAACACTCTCTATCCTTTATAATCCATGTAATCGCCTGCGCGAACACCCAATTAACACACCTTCCCCTGCTAGGAGGGGGACCGGAAGACGAATGCCTCTCTCTCTCTCTCTCTCTCTCTCTCTCTCTCTTACTCTCTAATTGGATAGAAAAAAGGATTGTGCAATGTCCTTCTTCTATCCTATTCTATTCGAGTTGTATGTCAATGAATAGAAGTTGCACCATTGCGTGGAAGACACAAATTGGGGGCATCGGAAGAGTACTAACAAGCTATACCCCAATCAAGCTGATTTTAGGTGCGTTGGCGGTCCGTATACCTTTCTGCTAGTCAGATTTGTAAAATTGCACTGCAAATCAGAATTCAGGGATTTTAGAAATTTTTGATATGTGAATTTGCGCTTTTTGACCGAAGATTTGACCGACAGAGAAGCTATTATGACGGTTAGAAAAATTCTGGGGTACTCTAAAATTTTGCAGTTTGTATTTTTTGGCTAACTGGCAGCCAGGAAACCAAGCTTTGGCTTTGAATTTGAATCCTGGAAATTGATAAACGTTTTAATCCTGAATTTCAGGGTTTTGGCGACCAGAAAAACAATTTTGACGGGCAGAAAATCCTGGAGTACCGTAGTTGCTTTGTAATTTCGATTTTTATGCGAACTGATAGGCATTTAAGCTATTTTTGGGCCAGCTGGGATTCTTCGACTCAGAATTTTACTAAAGACGCTCCTACTACCCCAATATCCAGTTTTTCGCGAGGTCTAGAAGAAGAATGGTGCCTGGGGGAATCGGATTGACACGGCGATGATGGGTCCATTCAACGACCCAAGAAAGGGAAGGAAAGGGGATGATTTATGACGGAAAGCGAGACCCCCAAGAGGGGCCAAGAGACGACGTGTCGATCCTCTTTACGTAACCACTAAAGCCCGGGGGGGCACCTGCATATGGTCAACGGGATTTGGCAAGGATTTATTCGAATCCGATGCTGTCAGCTGGAGCATTGTGTAGCCTGGCTGACAGATTCGCGAGAGGTAGAGATAAATTCCCCAATGGAACAGATTTTGGGGTTGGTATACGGTAACGGTAGCTGGGACACCTTTTAGAAGGGCAAAGTTTGGCAAACTGACAGTCAACAGTACTGTAGCTAAAAAATTCCCAAATTTTCTGCGCCTTGCTTGTAGAATTTCTAGTTTATTCGTCCCCAGTATGGCATTTCCGCGAAAGTCCAATACCCCCCGGCTCCGTCCCGGTGTGTCGGTCGGAATCTCACGGCTCGTTACCCTGTGACTCCCCCCGATTCGTGGCCTTGCATCAGGGGGGATTTTCCGAGGGGCGGAAAGGGTGCATTACTAGGCAGTTTAGTGGTACAACTATAGTAAACCTTAAAATGTCAAAAAATCTATCAAAATATGAAAAAATCGAACATTCGATAAAAACTGCTCAAAATGCAAAAAAAAAACGATTTTTAAACTTTTTGTAGCGCATTTATCGGGGCTATTTTTTAAACTGCCATGTCTGCTGTCTCTTAAATAATTTTTAAAAAATTTTAAGCAGTTTGCGAACTGGCATGCGCCTTGTCGTTTTCCTCGTCAAAATCACTTCCGGTCCATTTCTGACAAAATTCCAGCTAATACCGCCATGTTTCGATATGTTATGTATTTGGCAAAGTGTCAAATAATATCCCCACAGACACATTAGGGCCCCGAGCAGCGGAAACGGGGCATCAGATTCCATATTGGCCTCTAGTGGGCCCTCTAGTGGGCCCTCTAGTGGGCCCTACTGGATGGTGTATGGGCATTTGCATTCGGGGCTGTAAATATGAGAAGCATCTACATAAAGGGTATCGGAGGGTGTGGAAAAGGCATACTTGTTGGAAGTGAGCAGAAATACAGCATAAACAGATTTATCGACAAACAGACAGACTATCAAATCGACAAAAATCAAAAACTCCAAAATCTCCAGTATTTCTGTGAAAAATGTAAACTGGATGGCAGATTGGTAGAAAATTGCTGAAACCGACAGATAGAGAGACCACAGTTCGGCGAACTGACACCCAGATTGACCGCCCAAATAGCTAAAAACGTGAGAATGCCATTTTTCCAAAAAAGGACAGGCCGTAATCCCCTAAATAGCCCCAATTTTTAAAAAAAAAAACGTAAATTGACTGGAAGCTGGCCAGAAAATGACTATATCAAACAAACAGTCAGCCAGATCGACCAACTGGCTTACAGTTAGACCGACAAAACACCGAAAAACCGGTAAAATTTGTTTTACGAATTCCATACCATATGGCTTGTAAACGCTGGAAAACGACCCATTTATCTGCCTGTCTCCGGTCGCGTCAATTCCGCGAAATTTCAGTTTACCCCCGGGGGGTCGGAAAATTGTCCTCAACCAGC